TTGGAATACAGACCTTACCATCCTGTAACCCTCTCCTGAGCTCTGTCCCCAGCGACCCCGCAACCTCTCTGCTGAGGGCCCTCCTTCCATGCTGTCCCTCCCCACAGCCCTCTCTGAGGGCTGCTTTCTCTCTCCCTCAACCACTCCTGTGCTCCTGGCTGAAGCCTGCAGACCCCAATTCCCTCCTCTCCCTGAGCATCCTAGCTGGAGCATGCGTCATCGGCCACTAACCACCCAGTAGCCCTCACTGTGGCTTCATGCCTGCCCATCGTGCCCAAATTCCTGGTGGTCTAATGTTCTCGTGAATAAACCTCTGCAGACTGCCTGTCCCCTCTAAGCCTTGACCTCTTCTCCAGGTCAGTGTCCTCAGCTGGGCACGGTGGCTCATGCCTGTCATCCCAGCACTTTGGGAGGCTGAGGCAGGCGGATCACCCGAGGTCGGGAGTTCAAGAGCAGCCTGACCAATGTGGAGAAACCCTGTCTCTACTAAAAACACAAAATTAGCTGGGCGTGGTAGTGCAGCATACCTGTAATCCCAGCTACTTGGGAGGCTGAGGCAGGAGAATCGATTGAACCTGGGAGGCGGAGGTTGAGGTGAGCAGATCTTGCCATCGCACTCCAGCCTGGGCAACAAGAGCACAACTCTGTCCCAAAAACAAAAACAAAAAAACAAAAACCAAGTCTATGTTCTCATGTTCTGCCCCAACTGTGCTCTATCGCCACCAGTAACTGTACCCCATTCTCTGCCCATTGCTTCTGTCCAGCAGGGTGAACCCTCGAATCTGGGCTGTCCACTGGTTTGCTGCGTTGGAGTCTCAATAGGACAGGGGTGGATGAGAGTGTGACTGCAGAGTCAAGGGTGAGTGCACCAGGGGATCTGGCTTTGCTGAGGGTGGGGTGCTGGGGACACAAGAGTGGGAACCCCTGACCCTTACGACTGACCTTTCTACAATATGGGGCCTGGGAAGGGCAGGGAGAGGTGCAGCCAGCAGCAGAGGGCACAGAGGATTTGGAGCCAAAACTGCACCCACTAAAAGGGACGAGGGGCAGAACTGGGGCTTGAATCAGGGTGGCAGGAAGAGACTCCCCAGCTGGGGCTCTGCAGGGAGTGGAGAGGAGGACTGGGACTTTGACGCGCTGGGGGCCAAGTCAGCCTGTGTCCTGACCATCTCCTCTCTTGCAACAAAGCCTCCCAAGGCCGCAGCTCTCAGTAAGAGACTCGAGAGGCCTCCCATGCAGGAGTGCTGACACTTTTCCAAAGCTCGAGAATCGTCCACTGTCCTCCTCCAGCCTCTCCTAGCTGGGGCCCAGGACTGGGGCACCACATCGACCTCCTGATGTTGGGGGTGAGGAGGAAAGGGGGGGTCAGGATGCTGAGGCAGGGGGCGGGGCAAGGAGGCCAAGCAATTGTGCCCGGGTCGCATGTGTGCTCCGCACCGGGTAGGTGCAGACTGATGGCCAAGGCCTGGACCCAGCTGTCCTCCCGCCAGGGGTGCCGGGGGTGGGGGGGGGGGAGGGCTGCAGGCTCCACCCGAGCGGGAGCAAGGGCTGCCCCAATGGTCCCCTCGGGAGCGCCTGGCCTCTTTTGTCAAGGGGGCTGGGAGCGAAGGGGTGAGGAGGTTGATAGAGAGGGGCAGGTATGAGCACAGAGACAGGAGAGGAAGGGGCTGAGAGGGTGGATGGAGGGACAGGGAAACGGAGTGAGTGTAGGGTGACAGGAATGGCGCAGGCAGAAGGGATGAGGTGGAGGGAGGGACAAAAGAGAGAGACGGGTGGGGGCTCGGAGTAGAGGAACGGAGGAATGAGGAAGGGGACAGAGTTGGGGGCCGGAGGGACCAGAGTATGGGGCCAGAGAGGCAAGAATACTAGGACGAGTGGAGGAGGCAAGGGATGGAGTAGTAAGGACAGAGTTGAGGGCGGGGACCGCGTCCGGCAGGAGGCAGTGAGCGCCGGGTGATGAGGGCTTCGCACCCGCACGTCCCGCCGGCGCCCCGAGGGTCTGCCGGGTAATTAGGCCTCGGTCCAGATGGCCCCCCAGTCCCGCAATCAAAATGTTAATTGGCACCGCGCCTCCGGCTGAGCCTCGGCCCGGCCCCCCTGGGAGGGAGCCTGGACCCGCGCAGTGTGGCCGAGGGGGATCCCGCCCCCGCCCCCACCGCGAGCCTCGCCGGCTGCGGCTCCGCGATAAGGGGGCGGCCGCGCCCCGCCCCCACCCCTCGGGAGCGCCTGCCACGCAAGATGAATGTCCCGCCGCTGCCCGGGTCGGGGCGACTGGCACAAAGCGGGTCCGTGGTCTCCGCCGCACCCCCCGCGCGGGCGAACGAGGTCACACCCACCCGGGATCCGCGCGGGGCCCGCCGGCCGGGGCGGGGCGCTGAGCTCAGCAACTGCGGCGCGTCCCCGCAGGCAGTCTTCCCCATGGCTCGCTGCCGCGCGCTCCCCGCCGCTATCCGCGGGCCCGCCCCGCGCAAGGTCACTGCGCGCCTCATCGAGCGCGCGCCAGCATCGCACGCGCTCCCGGCACACCCGCGCCCCGACGCTCCCCGGGGCCGCCCCCGCGACTTTGGTCCCCAGCGACAGCGGGGCGCGTGGGAGCGCGCTTGGAGGACGTAGACCTGGACCACCGGGCGGGGCGGGTGAGGGGACAATGGCGGCGCCGGGCCCTAATTGGGGACATTTGCACCCGCGCGCGGCCATTGTGCGGCCCGGAGCCCCGGAGCCCCCGCGCCCGGCGCCCCGCTATTGGCCGCTGAGCCTGACGTCATAGGGCCTGCAAACGCCGGGCGGGCGGCAGAGGGAAGGGTTATCCGCCTGGTTGCGGGGATGCCGGGGGGAGATGCTGCCGGGCGGAAGGGCAGAAAACCCCCGAAGCCACAGAATTTCTGAAGCAGGGTCGTGGCAGCCCCCCTTTCCCCCTCCATACCCTCTCGCAGCGACGCTGCTGCGCTGCACACCCGCCCCGGGGGAGAGAGACGGGGGCGGGGAGGCCCCTCCAGCGGGCACCGGGTCAGCCCGGGTGACCGAGCGGCAGGAGCCACTGCGGCACAGGGCGCACGCTGCGCTTTCGCTGCCTCAGCACTCGCCTCTCCGGCTGCCGCCTCCCCCGCCCGCCCCTGCAGATCCCGTGCCCCAGGCTCGGAGCGAGGCAGGCCGGACTGGGGTCCGCCGTGCGTTCCTCCCCAGAAGACCCCAAGTCCCGGGCGCGTGGGTCCCAGGCCCGGTTCCATTTCTCTCCACAATTCCGACAATGCTGCTGACCGCCCGGTCGCAGTTACCCGAGCCCCGCGGGGGAATTCCCCACACGCGCAGGCTGAGGCATCCCCAGGACCCCTCCCAGGAGACCCAGGCCCGGGCTCCGGCTAGCGCAGCCATTTCCGCCGGCCTCTCCCCCTCTCCCTCCCCCTTCCCCAGCTCCTGGGCTTTAAAAGCCAGAGGCTGGGCCGGGCCGCAGGCAGAGGCAGCTGCGGGCTCAGGAGGCCGGCCCCTGGAGCTGTCCGAGAGCCGAGCCCCGCCCCCGGAGCCCCTGTCCCACCCTCGGCCCGCCCTCCCTGCGCACCCCTCCCCCCAGGACCCCCGCCCCCCGCCCGCCGCCGCCGCCGCCGCCGCCGCCGCCGCCGCTTGCTCCGGCTGCAGAACAATAAAGCAAGCCTCCCAGAGACCCCCGCCGAGGACCCCTGCCCGGCGGCCAAGCCCCCGCGGACCGCCCCTCCCCGCGAGGCCGGTAGAGCGCGGCCGGGCGCTGGCCGCGGTGCTGCCCAGGCCGGCGCTGGCCGCGGTGCTGAAGCTGCCAGGGCTGCTATCGCCGCCGCCGCCGCGTTTTCCGAGCCCGGCGCCGCCGCCCCCGGGGGCATGGGGGGCCGCTGACTGAGGCTCCGCCGCGGCGGCGGGGGGGGAGGGGAAGGGGGCCACGGAGCCGGGCCAGCCCTGCACCCACTCGCCTCCAGGCCCGGGACGGAGCCGCTCCCCCCTCTCCGCCCCCCCAGTCTCCTCCCCGCCTGTCCAGGGCGGCACTGCGGGCTGGGAAGCCGGGACCAGAGAAGGGAAGGAAGGAAGAGGAGAGGAGAGGAGAGAGGAGAGGAGAGGAGACGAGAGGAGAGAGGCGAGGCGAGGAGAGGCGAGGAGGAAGGAAGGAAGCAGGAAGGAAGGAAGAAAGGAAGGAAGGGAAAAGAAGAGGGATCCGGAGGGGCCCCAAAGGAGACGCAGGGCAGCAAGGAGAGAGGACACCACTCGCGCGGCAGCATCCAAAGGCCAGAGTGGGTACCCGCGCTGTCTCTGCCGTTCCTCGGATGGTGACGAGGCCCTGCCGCCGCAGCCCCCCCAAGCCCCGGCTCCGCAGGCCCACAGCGCCGGAGCCCCGCAGGAATCATGCCCAGGTCCTTCCTGGTCAAGAAGGTCAAACTTGACACGTTCTCTTCGGCAGACCTGGAGAGCTCCTACGGGCGCGCTCGCAGCGACCTCGGCGTGCCACTGCACGATAAAGGTGAGCGCTGGTCTGAGCTTGGGACGCAGGGCCTGGGGCTTTGCTGGAAGGTGGAGGGCCAAAGTGTGGGGGCGGAGGGCGGAGCCGGGGGAAACAGACTGAAAGGAACCAAAACCGGCAAGAGGCTGTAGCTGGAGCCTGGACTGAAGAGGGGAGGAAGGGGAACGCAGAGGCCAAGGCTGGGCAGGGAGAGTGTTGACGCTGGATAGAGGGTGGCGAAGAGGATCAGGAACTGGAGGTACCCGAAGGCACACATGGACCCACACCCTGACCCTGGCTGGAACAGATACAGCCGCATGGATTCTGCCATGGCAGGACCCAGCTATACCGGCACACACAAACCTATACTCAGAGACCGGGGCTGCCTCACCACCCTCCTCTTCCTTGATTGCACCAGGACACCTGCTAGGGCTAGCTGGGGAATGCAGGGAGCTCCAGGGAGTGGGGCGGGGTGGGGGGGGATACAACAGGGCCGCCCACCTGTCAGATCGGAGGGGAGAGCAGAGGCAGCAGCAGTCTCTTCCCTGAAGCCTGGGTCAGGGAGAGGAAGCAGGGAGGAGGCTGTGAGCAAGGGACGTCCAAGGTGTGGGAGGCAGGGGGAGGCTCTTTGTGTAAGGGTGCCCAAGTTCAAGGACAACTGTCAGCATGCAGGAGAGGGGGACAGGAGTGCCAGCAACGTGGGGTGGCAGAGCAAGTGTGACCTGCAGGAGTGTGAGCCTGTGTGGGTCCATGTGACTGTGTGTGGCCATGTGACCGTGTGCGCTTGTGTGTGACCCTGTGTGTGTGTATGTGCTCGCCTGTGTGCCACTACATGGGACCATGTGACTCTGAGGCTGCTGTGCACCATGTGACTGAGAGTGTGTCCGGGGTGACTGCATGTGTGACCCTGTGTGACTGAAGAGGTGGTGAGTTCCGAAGATCAGTGTGCAGCCCACTCTGTGAGGGGACACAAGGGCTGACAGTGCTGGAAGACTGGGTGTAACTCTGAAGGAGCCAGGGCATGAAGAGGGGCATGCATTTGTGACTTTGAAGTTATGAGATCCATCTTGTGCCTGGGGAACAACTGCAGCCCCCGCATGAATGATGCTGCCCTCCTGCAGCTCCTCCCTGTGAAGGTGGACGCCCTGGCCCTCTCTGCACCTCGGTGTCTCCCTCGTCACCTGTTCAGGGGCTTGAGAAGGCCCTGAAAGGGGTTCAGGTGTGAGCGGGAGAGGGCAATGTTGAACAGGTAGGGTGCAGGTTGGTGAGAGGGAGTTTTGGGGAGAAGCAGAGTGCATGGAGGAGACTGTGGCCTAGGCAGCAAGGGCAGGGTCAAGTCCAGCGGGTGGCAGGAGAGCTGTGGGAGGTGCTGGTGAGGCCGGAGTAACTGGAGAAGGGAGACGTCTTCAGAGCGTGTTGGAGGAACTAGACGGCCAGCGGGGGTCAGCATCAAAATGGAGCGCGTGTTTTGCAGGCCAGGGCGAGAGCCGGCAAGGACCCTGGAGAGGCGGGACAGAGGGGTTCCTGGGCCGGCGGTCCTGGCTTTGTGCGCCGCGGGTCTGCAGTGTGTTGCATAATCAGGGAAAACTGCTGAGGTGGGGAGAACCCGAGGGGGAGGGTACAGAGGGTGGGGGAGGAGGGAGAGGAAGCACCGCCCCTCCCCCCTGACCTTGAGGCTCCAGGGAAGGGGGGGCAGCCGCGCCCGAAGATGCTCCTCTCTCCTCCTCCCCGCGAGGGTGGGGCGGCGGGGGCGGAGCCTGGCCCGGCCCTGTCTCATCCTCTCCTTCCCTCTCTTCCCCTCCCTGCCGTCTCCATCCTTTCTGCCCTGCGGTCCCTCGGCCCCCTCTCCTTTGTCCTTCTCCCTGTTCGCTTCTCTCCCGGACCCGGGTCTCCTGGTCCGCGTCTCCTGTCTCCCACCGCCCCTGTGTGTTCTGCCGCCGCCCCATTCCCCTCCCACTGTCCGTCCGCCTTGGCCCGCAGGGTACATCAGCGACTACGTGGGGCCCCCATCCGTCTACGATGGCGACGCCGAGGCTGCGCTGCTCAAAGGGCCGTCGCCGGAGCCCATGTACGCGGCAGCTGTGCGTGGAGAGCTGGGTCCGGCAGCTGCAGGCTCTGCGCCGCCGCCCACCCCGCGCCCGGAGCTGGCTACCGCTGCGGGCGGCTACATCAACGGTGACGCGGCCGTCAGCGAGGGCTACGCGGCGGACGCCTTCTTCATCACCGACGGGCGCTCGCGGCGTAAGGCTTCCAGTGCCGGCGCTGCTGCCGCTCCCTCCACAGCCTCGGCGGCGGCCCCCGACAGCGATGCCGGAGGCGGGGGCGGGGCGGGTGGGCGTAGCGTGGGATCCGGATCTGGGGGCCGGGGCGGCTCGCGCGCGGGGGCTGGCACCGAGGCGCGCGCTGGGCCAGGGGCCGCAGGTGCTGGTGGCCGGCACGCCTGCGGCGAGTGCGGCAAAACGTACGCCACGTCGTCGAACCTGAGCCGCCACAAGCAGACGCACCGCAGCCTGGACAGCCAGCTGGCGCGGCGCTGCCCGACGTGCGGCAAGGTGTACGTGTCCATGCCGGCCATGGCCATGCACCTGCTCACGCACGACCTGCGCCACAAGTGTGGCGTGTGCGGCAAAGCCTTCTCGCGGCCCTGGCTGCTGCAGGGCCACATGCGCTCACACACCGGCGAGAAACCCTTCGGCTGCGCGCACTGCGGCAAGGCCTTCGCCGACCGCTCCAACCTGCGCGCGCACATGCAGACGCATTCGGCCTTCAAGCACTTCCAGTGCAAGCGCTGCAAGAAGAGCTTTGCGCTCAAGTCCTATCTCAACAAGCACTACGAGTCGGCCTGCTTCAAGGGCGGCGCCGGCGGCCCCGCGGCTCCTGCGCCGCCACAGCTCAGCCCTGTGCAGGCCTAGGGCGAAGGGGCCTCCCCCAGCCAGGTCGGCTGTCAGCAATACGGCCCCCCAGGGAAGTCTTCGCGGGCGTCCGGATGGAGGGGCCGGAGGGCGGGCCCCTCCTCACAGCAATAGGGGGAGGCGGGCCCGGTCCTATCCCGCCCCGCCCGCCAGGGGCCTTGCTGGCCCCTTCAAGCAATAGGGTCCCGAGGGGAGACCCACCCCGAGCCCCCTTCCCTCCCCTCCAGGGTGCCCCCGGCTTTCTCCCAGCAATAGGGTCGATGAGACCCAGAACCGAACCTCATCTCCGAGTTGGGTCTCTGAAGACGGGGGTGAGGTGAGGTAGGGAGCCCCTCCTCCCGCCTCTGCGCCCCTGGATCGCGTCGCAGGGACTCAGGTCTTCCCCCACCCCTTCCCAAGCCTTCTAGCGCCGGTCCTGCCGCCCAGACGTCCGGGAGCCGGCCCCTCCCCGGCAGCAGGCCGGGGCGGATGAGGAGCGGGCGGGCCTGCAGGGGCGCCCCTGCCTGACAGTCTTCGCGGAACTCCCGGGAGTGTTAGACGAGTTGTGGGTCGGGGAGAGGGGCGGACGGCGGCACCCTCTCTCTCGGGTTGCTTTGGGGCCTCAGTTGGAGCCGCCCTCCTACCCTCGCCTCGCATCCTCTGCCAAATCCGAATTCTTCCAGCCCCGCTTCCCGGGCTCTGTCCTCCATATCGAATAATAATGACATATCGAATCGCATGGACTTATCCGACCTCCTCAGACCCCGCTTCCGCCCTGCCCCGGGCCCCCACCCCCGTACCCTGGGCATTCGTGTTGGAGGACGGATTCCCGGGGCCGACCGGCAGGCCTGGGTGCTGCCCTCTACACACCTCTGTATTCGCTTTGCGGGTAAAGCCCCCTGGGGGGGGTTGCGGACGCGTCGGGTTTCTTTCTGTCTGTACTTGTACGTTTTATTTATGAACGGATTGCACTTGGGTCAGGGAGGGGGCGCTGAACCCCCATCTTGCCCGCCGACGCCGGGGGCTTGGGATGTCCGGGATTACTTTCCACGCTCCGAGGCCCGCCCCTAGCTGGGCGCCTCAGGCCCCGCCTCTCAGAGGCAGGCCCCACCCCTGAGACCCAGGCCCCGCCCTCATTCGGTTGCCAACTTTCGCCCGTCTATGCCAAAGCCTCGGCGGCGACCCCACCCCAAGGGCCCGCCCCATTGGCCGCCGCCTTTGTGACGTCACTGCATGCAGCCCCACCCCTCCTCCCGACCCTACCCGGGGCTGCCCGCTCCCCTTCCCTCTTAGGTAGTCCGATGCCGACTATAGAGCAATAATGCGCACTGCATGCGAAGCTGCCGCCGCCTCTAGAGTTACTGAGAATCAGGTATCCCCTTGCCCTACCCACCCCATAGGCCCCTAGATCAGGGACGCTGCGCGGGGCCGGCCGCGCAGACTTTCTCCCCACTCCTCCCCGACTGCCACGGCAGAGCCCGGCGGGTGTATTGGTTCCATGGGCGGCGGTGGGGTGGATGCACCCAAGACCCCTCCTTCAGTCATTAATCTTTCACTCACCGTTCATTGAGCACCTGCTATGTGCCAGGCGAATTGCTGAGTCCGCCAGGAACGCAACCACCTGCTGGGAGGTGTTTGCAGGACAGGGATTCAACTGGCTCGGGCGGGCCAGGGAAGAACGGCAGATGCAGAGACCAGGTCCCTAGGCTCAGATGCCCCCCACTCTCCTCCCCACCTCAACCAGTCCCTGCTGGGCACAGCTGGGCTCTACCTTTGACTTAGGCCTTTTGGTCCCAGCTGAGGGGGACAGACCCAGGGCTCTAGGGCCCTGAGACACTGGGCCCCCACACAGGTGGCCACTTCTCTGATTCCCTGGCCAACACACATTTGCCATGTCCAGCCAGGGGCAGAGCCATGGCCGGAGAAGGTGGAAGCTGTAGCCTATGGTGTGGCCACCCTCACTGACCCCCAGCAGCAAGTGTGGCTGCCCCACAAGGATGACCCGCCGCTCTGCATAGCGGTGCCCAGGTCCAATACCCTACACAACCAGGCGTGGTGCCTGCCCACATGTGCTGCATGCACACGCACACACAGGCGCCCCCACCCCACCCCATACTCCTGTCTGCCTACCTAAGGAGAAAGCTGGAGGGCTGTGGGCCCGTCAGGGTGTCCTGCTTCCCCCCACACCTCGCCGCCGTGGAAAGCCATGGGCCCCCTCCCGCCCCCATAACTAAGCAGCACAATAACCGACTTAGCGAATTCAGGTAGAAGGAACGTTTAGGTAGCACCTATTTTGTACTGATTCTACAATTAGGGCCCGAGGTGCGGGGTCTCGGGTGGGGGCTGCGGCCACCGGCCCACCCGCCCCCACCCCCGCCTGCGCCCCGCCGCCTTGTACATATTCCCACCCGGAATAGGCCGGGATTTTTACTCGGGCCGTGCCCTTCTTCCGCCCCCGTTTGGGGCCAGGCCGGCCGGACAGACGGACGGACGGACAGATCTCCTTCCTAAGCACAATAGCACCAGCTCCCCGGAGCGCCGCACCTCCACAAGGAGAATAAATGCCACTCTTGATAGAATCTGGAGTGTCGGGCTGATGTGTCCTGGGCTGGGCCCATGCTTTTGGGGGTGGCTGGGAGGGTCTTCCTAGTCAGGCAGTACCTCAGAGGCTGGTGCTGCAAGGGTCATGCTGAGGCTTTTCACAAGAGGGCCCTCTTCTTCCACTGGGGAGGGCTAGCTCAGTAGGCCAACCACAGGAGCATCGGGTCTGAAGGCAAAGCAGTTGGCATTTCCCCTGGGGTAGGTGGATCTGCTCTGCACCAGGAATTAGAGCACTAAGGGGCTCTAGCCCAAAGTCAGGCCCAGCCCATGGTTTGTCCAGAGTGGGCAGGGTAGGTACAGTAGGAGCTGCAGTTCCCCAGCCTGGGTGCCTCCACTATTCTCTCCCTGTAGGATCTCCTTGTGCTGTGCCGGAAGGCCTGAGAGCCACCCCAAGCCCTCTGAGATGCTTTTGCAGGAAATGGGGACAGCAGAGGGTTCAAGGTCTGGCCCTTTGCCTGTGGCCTGCTGCCCACATTCTAACCCCCAGGCTTCCCAAATGAGCTCCTCCAGTGTCTGAGGAGGCCTCCATGGACAGTTCCATGGACAGCTGGGTTGGACCAGTCCCAGGGGTGACGTGCCCGGAGGGGGAGAGAGGCTTCTGCAACCATTGTGTAGGGGCTCTAGACAGAATAAGTAGTGGGAGATGAGGGGCAGGGACCCCTCTGCCCAACAATGGCCCCTGGTAACCAGGTAGGCAGGCATGAGCTGAGAAGCCCAAAATCTTCATGCACATACATTCAAACCAGGTCAGTCCTAGGTCCAGCAAAGCTGCCCACACCCTGGCAGGGACAGGAGACAGACCTGCCCAGACTCCACTGGGGTGGAGAGCAGGGGAGCTGGGCTTGCAGCATGTTATGGCTGTGTGCTGACATTTGGAGGGGCTGGGGTGCAGGTGGGTGCTCCCTTTGGGAGAGCACTGCCAGCAATGATAATGGCAGGCAGCAATGGCCAGGAGGAAGGCTCCTAGCCATCCCATCCTTCCAAAGGACTCGACAATGAGTGGCTGTTTCTATTCCTCCAGGATTCTGATGTGTAGAGGGGATAAAAGATGGAGATGGCCTCCCTGAGGCCTGGGATGAGCTTAACCTCCCAATTCCTCCCAGCCAGGGACACAACTTTCTCTCTGAGAGAATGAGTGGCATGAGCCACCTACCACCACTGGCCGTGAACTCTCCCGGGACCCATGCTTCTCACAGGCCTCCTACCCATGGCCCCTAAGCCCTGGGGTCAGCCTGAGGCCCCAACCCCCTTCTGGCCCTATTCCATTAGTCCTGCAAGGCAACTTACTCCAGGCTCGAGCCCCCTCATTTGTTGCTGTCCCCAGCAGGGTGACCTGTACCACACTTTCCTCGATGACCCGGCCACTCACACCCTTGTCCCCAGCCAACCTCGCCTACCCTGGCCATTCCCCTCACCTAGATCCCAGGGTACAGGGGCTGTCTGGGCAGGGCTTCACCAGGCTCTGAAGCTGCTGCCCCGCACTGCCCCCACCCCTGTTGGCAAGACCCTTCCTTAATGGTGCACCCATAGCCAGGGCTTTCCTATTGGCTCCAGGCCCAGCTCTGCTCACCAGACCCGACCCGCCCTCCCTGGTGGTCCAGTCCACCCTCCCGTGGCCTTTCTTCTGTGGATACTTGCTGGCCTTAAGTTGGGACGAGACCACAGACTGAGCTGGGGATTTCCTTTGCCTAACCTGAGGTGCTCTACGGCCAGGCCTAGGCCTCTCTGAGCTTGGTGTTGGTTCATATTTAGAGGCCTGGGCCTGGCTGCAGAGTGCGTCTGCCAGAGACTGCCGTGAACAGATGAATGTTCTAGGAGACTGGGTAGGAGATGGGGCTGTGGTCCTGACCGACCAAGGCCCATGTGTGAGGGGATCTCTGGCCCAGTGAGGGTGGCCCCACTCAGCAGGGTACATGAAGAGCATCTGCCAGGTAGCTCCAGCCTGCCTGATGCCTGGCTGGCAGTAACCCACAATGGCCTGTGGTGACAAGAACACGTCATCAAGGGGGCAGCCGGGTGGGCAGCCTGCCAGCCGCTGTTGGTGGAGGTGGCGAAAGAGGACTGAGCTCAGCAAAGAGTCTGTGACCAGTCCACATGAGAGGACCTGACTTCAGGAGGAGCACCTGTTTGCTTCCAGAGAGCCGCTTCTTGTCCCTGCTCACCCCAGAGGAATGGAGGTGTTTCTAGGTTTCTAGTGAACTCTGGTACCCTGAGATCCACGATGTTCTCACTCTATGCCCTGTGCCTATGCATGCCAGGCCAAGGTGGGCCGCACCTGTGGCTGTTACAGTTGATTAGTTGCTTCATTTAACATACAAGATGGTTGGCTCATAACCTGTAATCCCAGTACCTTCAGAGTCTGAGGTGGGAGGATCGCATGAGGCCAGGAGATCCAGATCAGCCTGGGCAGAATAGCGAGACCCTGTCTTTAGAAAAAAATAACGAAAGACAGCAGGGCGGTTGCACAGGCTGTGCAAATGCACAGAAGTCTCTGAATCCTAGCGATCCAGCGCCCCAGGCTCCTGACATCCTGGAGAGGCTGGCCCGGGTTGGAAATCTGGACGCCCTGAGAGTTGAGGGATGTGGAGTTTCCTGTGGAGGGAGTGGGTGGGCCGGGGAGACGACACCAAGGGGCCTGCGCCCTCGCCCTACCCTAGCAGGGCTCTGACGGCGGGGAGGTGGAGAACCTGGGAGTCGCGTGGAGGGCAGGCGTCCCGGTGATGCGGGGCCTGGTGCATTTCTCCAGCTTGGTCTTTTGACCTGGCCCTTGTCTGATGGCCCGCTAAGGCGAAGAAAAGCAGGATCCTGCTGGGGTAACTAGAGGGCTCGTGGAGCACAAGCGCGCCGGGGACGTTACCGTAAGCTGCACGCGCGGAAACCAACGCGCTGGGTGGAGGGCGACGCGAGCTGCCGCGGACACTGGCCCGGGCAGCTGGACCGTAGCGCACGAGGCGCTTCCTAAATGACTGCCCCGAGCGGCTCGTCGGGCTGAGGCTGACGAGATCCCATGTGTACACAAGTGGGACAAGGGGCGGGCGCACAGCGGCCAGGAAGCCGGGGCCCAGAGCAGCCCTCGGCGGAACATCCCGCTCGGTGGAGCTGGACAAGACCCTGGCACCACGCGGGGGCGATGCTAGGTCCGTTCCCGCTCCGTACTCGCCGCCTGCAACCCCGTCCGTGAGAGCGACCACGGCTCCCAGAGTGCTCTGCGCTAGTGCGCCCGCGGCGACTACGACTCCCAGGGTGCTCTGCGCCGGCGAGCCCGCGGCGACTACGACTCCCAGGATGCTCTGCGCCGGCATGCCCGCGAAGACCATGACTCCCAGGGTGCTTTGCGCCCCGCCAGCCTCTCCAGGCCCCGCCTCAGGTCGGCCGCGGACTACAAATGGACGTGAGAGGCGGCCGCCCGTTAGTTAGCGGCTCCGGAGCGACGCGGCCACGGTCCTTAAGGCGACGGGCCGAACGCGCCGGTGGGGCGGGCACGCGGGCTACGGCGGCCGGCAGGGGGCGCCGGCGGCGGCTGTTGCCCAAGTGTCCGGAGGTGGGGCCGCGGGCGTCGCGCGGTGTGAACCCGGCGGGCCTCAGCGTAGCCGCGGCCGGGTACTGGGTGAGGCCATGGGCGACCGCGGCGGCGCGGGCGGTTCCCGGCGTCGGAGGACAGGGTCGCGGCCCTCGAGCCACGGGGGCGGCGGGCCTGCGGCGGCGGAAGAGGAGGTGCAGGATGCCGCTGCGGGCCCCGACGTGGGAGCCGCGGGGGACGCGCCAGCCCTGGCCCTCAACAAGGACGGAGACGCCGGCGTGGGCAGCGGCCACTGGGAGCTGAGGTAGTGGAGCGCCTGATTTCCGACCCGGGGCTCCGCGAGTTTCCGGGGTTGCCGCGGTGCGAGCTCCGAGTCCGAGAACCTGGGCCCTGTGCAAAGCGGGGATCGGTGTGCCCCATGGACCTTGTGGGGAGGGTCGCCTGCCAAGGTCACGGGGCAGGGGCTCGTGGAGCTGGCCTCCTTGGCCTGGCACAGGGGCACTGCCAGGTGTCCCGCTTTCAGACCCTCTCGTGCCTGTGCATCCTCAGGGGCTCCTAAGCGCTTTTTGAGGGGCGGGCTGGTGAGACCCCGTGTGTCCCAGCCCTGGACAGTGTTCCCTTCTCTGGAAGGAGTCAGATGGGATCGGGCAGTTTGTGGTGATGGGTTCCGTCTTGGTGCTCTGAGCGGTGCCTTGCAGGTGGGAAAGGCTCCCAGAAGAGGGCTGGCCTGCCAGGGAGGGGGCCAGCTGAAGCCCAGGCCTGCCTGAGGACAGGGGAATGAGCAGCTGCCCCGGGGAAGGGGCAGTGTAAGAGACGTGCTTGTCCTTGCAGATCCTCCTGAGAGTGGCTGCGTGCCCCATTCATCCCTGCTCATGTTGCCAGAACCAGCGTTTGCTGTAGGGACAGAGAGTTGGGTTCTGTGTTGGGACTTCCATCCTTCTGGTGGGAGGTGGGGTAGGGGGTGGTGGACACACCTACAGGTGGGTGCCCTGCTCAGCTGGATGGAGGGAGGGAACCATGGCTGATGGGAAGGACTTGGCCAGCCTGGACATTGGCTTCCTCCTCCAAGCTGGCCTTGAGCAATCCCTTTGCCACCCTCCATCCCCCTCTTATGGCCTTTACGCTGGCCCAGGGGCCCTCAGGGGTTTTGTTTTAGAGAGCAGCTGATGGCCTAGAGGTTATTAAGGTGGAAGTGGGCAGATTTTGGACATTTAGTTGGCAAGGATTTGCTCTCTCAATGAATAAGAATGGAGCTTTTCTTCACTGGCCCCCATGGAGAGGCAGCTGGGGGAGGGCAGTCACCATTGTGGCCCTCAGGGTGCTCAGTTCATCTGGGAGATAAGATAGCCTCCATAAGAGGCAGGCACGGAGCAGTGTGGACAAAGGTCGGGCACGGAGGCCATGAAGGTGCCATGGGGAGGCGGGCGGCCCTCCTGAGAGGGGTGCTTGCCTGCTGTGGGTCTGGGGTGCTGCTGAGGGAGGCTGGCCATGATCTCTGGAGGGCATGGGAATTGAGATTTTTTTTTTCTTTGAGATGCGTTTCGTTCTTGTTGCCCAGGCTGGAGTGCAGTGGCACAATCTTGGCTCACTGCAACCTCCACCTCCTGGGTTCAGGAGATTCTCCTGCCTCAGCCTCCCAAATAGCTGGAATTACAGGTACCTGCCACCACGCCCAGCTAATTTTTGTATTTTTAGTAGAGATGGGGTTTTACCCTGTTGGCCAGTGTAGGGACAGAGAGCTCCTGACCTCAGGTGATCCACTTGCCTCGGCCTCCCAAAGTGCTGGGATTACAGGTGTGAGCCACTGCACCCGGCCAGGAATTGGGATTTTTTTAGTGTGAGATGGGGGTATGCCACCTTTGGGCCAAGCTGCCACCCTGGGGTAGGCAGGGGAGAGCAGTCACCTTCCTGCTTTTCAAACCATTGAGCCTTTCCTATACTTCTGCTGGTGTGGGATGGGTGCGGAGCTTGTGGGAGAGGCCTGGGGAGTCCCTGTCCCTGACAGTGAGGTTAGGTCTCTTTGGGAAGAGGGCCAGTAGAAGGCAGAGCTGGGCTTTCCTGGGGCTGGAGGCTGAGCCCACAAGTCCATCTGCTCCTGGGCCTCCAGGACTTGCAGGCCACATATGCTTGTCCCTCAGACGTGGGGATGCAGCAGGACTCGGACCACTGGCTGTGGACACTTTCTCCCTGCTGTCTAGGTCAGGCCTTGCTCTGCCTGCCCTCCTGGGACTTGGCTTCTAGTGCACTCGCTTGTCAGCCTTACAGCCACCCCTCCCTCCCGATTGCTGCCACTCTTGGCCCAGCCCAGCCTTTCGTTTCCCGCTTCCTCGTTACTCCTAGAGCTCTGGGCCTCCTCCCCTCACTGGCACTTCCTGCTCACCTTGGGCTGGGCTCTGGGTATGAGCTCTTTTCTTCTAGCCCTGTGGCAAGGTGAGGCTGTGAGGCAGGCAGGAGAGGGCACCCCTTTCTGCCCTGCCTGTGGCTCACTCCTGCCAGGCTTTTTGCACACTCCCATCAGCCCTCTGTTCACAGAGTCTGAGGTATCTTCTCTGACTCTCCCTTACTCTCTCCAGCAGGGTCTGTGAGGTACAGTTAGCCTGCTCCAACGATCTTGAACACCAGGCCCAGCCCAGAGGCCAGTGTGGAGGAGGTGGCAGCTGGGAGCAGAGCTGGACCCTGCCCACTCCCCATTCTGCTTTGCCCTGGAGCTGCAGTCTGTGGGGCCCAAGTATGGGAATCACTGGGACCTGTGTCTTTGGGCACATTTTGAACCTGGAGACAGGGCAGCAAGTGGGCGTGTGCCAAGGTCTCAGTTTTGCTGAGACTGAGAGGATCCTGTTGGCTGGGTGGGCCTGGGGGCTGCAGGGTGGGAGGGTGGGCTGCTCCATGTCTTCTTGGCCTGGGAAGTGGGTATAGGGACAGCTGGAATGTACAGAGGCTTGGGCAGGCCCTCCAGTAGGTGAGAGGATGACAAAGGTGCTCTGGGCACAGGGACAGATCCCGCCTCCCCATGCCGCTCCCTGCATCATGCTCTCTAGCCCACTTGATCCTGGCTGCACTGGCAAGTCTGCAGCTGTGTAGGCACTGGTGGACTGGGGCTTCCTCCTCATGGGGATCTGTGAGAGGTAGGAGCAGTGCAGTGGGAGTGTTTCCTGGGGGTGGGGCTGGTCAGGAGGCCTGTGGAGGACCTGAGGTGAGGGCGTGGCTGGGTTGAGGTAGGCCTTGGAAGCCTTAGGGGCCCCTGAGAAAGCTTGTATAAGATTGTCTGGAGTGAGCTTTGGGAAGCACCACCCTTTCCCGACTCCAGCTTTCATCTTGGAGATGGGCATGGGTAAAGCCAGCATGGTATCCTCATGGCTCAGAGTGGGCAGGGGTCACACTGTTGTGAAACAGCTGTGGTTGGCAGGTTATGATACAAGGCCAGCCATGAGGCTTGGGATCGTTCTGCTGAAAACAAATGAGCTTGAACTTGGGGAAGAGGGGACAGTGGGGAGGCCCAGTCCAACAGACTCCTCCAGAGAAGCTGTTGGGCAGTTGGGCCTTGTGCCCCTGCTCTTGTTATGGGGTTGGAGCTCTGGTGGCGTGCACACCCAGCCTCCTGGTCAGGGGCAGGCAGTGAGTGGAGTGGGCTGGGGAGATAAACTGAGGGTAATGGTCAGTTGGGAAGGCAGCTGCCAACTTGGGGAGGAGGGAGGCTCAGTTGGAAACCACAGCCTTACTTCATGGCCCAAGATGGACCTGATGGGTGAGGCAGGATGCTCAGGCTGGAGCTGGGAGAGGCAGGGTCTGGGGCTGGGGTAGAGCTGCCTGTCCTGGCGCTTCAGCCTAGATGGGCAGAGGGAAGAGTGTGATTATCTTCCCTGTGTGAGGGTCTCTGGGGCTAGTGTAGGCTTGTCCAGGAACTGTGTAGGTGTAAATGGGGCAGGTGCTGCACCAACCTTGGTCTTGGAGGGCAAAGGTTGGGCTTGTTGGCATTGCCCCTTGGCCTCCCTGGCCCCTTGCCTCCTGGGCAGGGCCGTCTGACTGCCAACCCCAACCATAGCCAGCTTGCCTTGGGCACCCTGAGGGCATCTGCATCACAGGGCTCCTGCCATCGCTTCAGGCCCACTCTCCCTGCCTAGGGGCTCTGAGGGGCAGATGTGTGTGCGTGGGAGGGAAAAGGAGGCTCTGGCCTCTCCTCTTACAAAACTGAGGACTTGCTCAATTGCTGCATGTGGCTTCCTGGTGGCACGGCAGCCGGGGGATGAGGTGGGGCTGCAGCTGGTGTGTATGAGCCAGCACTTCTTCCTAGGACAAGTGGGGCCTGGCCAGGCTCCTGCTATCCTTGTCCCAGCTTCATGGCAGTCCCTGTGTTGGGCTGGGTGCCCTCTTCCACCTGTGCAGTACGTGGAGGATCAGGCAGGGTCTGCCTGTGCCCCTCCAACGCTGGTTGGGAGATCATGGGTGGGCACCTGCCTCCGTCGGAAGCCTCCTGGCTAGCCAGCAGGCACTTAGCCCTGGGTGGGGTCCTTTCAGCTCTCTCAGCCTGGGCTGGAACACAGCACTAACAAGTGCAGACGACACCGGCACATGAGGCCTGGCTCCCTGCCTTCAGGAAAGTGCGTGTCAGCCTGGTGTGTGGCTGGCACTTGGCCTGCCTTTGCCAGTTTGAGCCTGCTGCCCCTTTGAGTAGGAACCCCTTAGTTCCGGGTGCTGGGATGTGGGGGAACCGACCTCACCACTTGGTCCCTGCAGTGCTGGGTGTTGCCCCGGGTCCATCTCCAGGTTGGACTCTGCTTGTGGCCCCAGTGCTAGTCCACAGCCAGAGTGCATGGCAGTGGCCAGAGGCAGGGCCAGCTGGGCGAACTTCTCCTGACTCTGATGTGCCTTCCTGCTCCCTGGACTTCCTCTTGCCCAGCATTGGTGTTGGCTGAGGTGGGTGCAGAATCTTGGAGCTTGGGATGGAGATCAGACAGGGCTGGGTCTGCAAGCCTGAGGCTACACCCTAGAGGTGCAGTCTCCAGGGGTCCTGAGAGCTTTGCCCACTGTAGGTCTCGTGGCCACAGTGTGGCTCTGCCTGGCTTCTCCTCCTGGTTGTAAATAGGGAGTGGGGCCTGTGGGCAGACAAGGAGGCTGGGGTGGGGGCATGGATCCTGTGGGGGTGGCCCTGCCCTGCTGGTATCTGCTAAGGGGGTGCTTGTGTCGTGCCCCATCAGGTGCCATCGCCTGCAGGATTCTTTGTTCAGCTCTGACAGTGGCTTCAGCAACTACCGTGGCATCCTGAACTGGTGTGTGGTGATGCTGGTGAGTGGGACATGGTGTTGGGAGCAGGTTAGGGCCAGGCTGGCCTTTACCTGGGAACAGGCTCTGCCACCCAGGGTGTGGGGACTAGCGCCCCTGTAGGCTGGAGTGTATGGAGCAGGCTGCATCTTCATGTGGCCGCCAGCACTGGGTTGTTGGGGAGAGGAAGTGGTAGTGGCTGCCCCTGCTGTGGCCACTTGGGTGTCTGTGCACCACATACTTGCTGCTCCCCATTGGACCCAGGAAAGCCCTGCAGATGTGGTGTGGGTGTGGGGAGTGCCTGGGCTGGAGCCTGTGTGTTGTGAGCTGGGCCTGAGGGGTGCAGGGCCTCCATGGAGAGCAGGATGGAGAGGGGGCTTGCCCTGGGCTGGTGGGACAGTGGACTTTGGGCTCTGTGGACATGAGGCCTCTCTGGCAGGGGATGTGAGAAGAGTTTCCTGTGCTGTGCCACATGGCCTTGGTTAGTATGGAGCCCCTGCAGGCCTGGACACCACTCTGCAGTCCTCCTGGCCCCTTTCCTTAGCTGTGGGTCCCAGGAGCCCCCTAGGAAGGTGATTAGATAGGCCCTGTGCCATATCCAAGGCCTGCCCCTGGGCCTGGTTCCCACTGGCACTTCATGGGGTGGGGCTGCCCCACCCCAGAAGCATTTGGAGTCCAGGGCTCAAAGGGACAGCCCGCAGGGCAGGTTGAGGGCAAGGGCTGTCTTGGCCTGGCCTCCACCACTCAGGGCTGATGTGGCTCGAGGCCTTTGACCCTTGCCCAGGCTGTCTCTGCTCTTGGGTGCAGCTCCTGTGGCTACCAACATGGAAGGAGCTCCACGCACATCCACATCCCCTACTGCCATGGTCCTGGCAGGTTCCCTGAGGATGACAAATTGTGGAGGCTCATGAGGCCTGGTGGCTGAGAAGCTGGCCAGGCAGGAGGACAGTGGGCCCAGTGCCAGCCCAGCACTCAGGAGACGCAGCCCATTCAGGCTGGGCCTTGTTCCAGAGTTGTGTTCTCCCCAACTCTTTGGGCCTGCTTGGTCATTTGCTTCAGGCCCAGCCCTGAAGCCTTTTCCCTGCTTCTGGCTCCCCCATGGCCCTGAGCCCCGGGAGTGCATTTTTCTCTGGGCTGCCTGTTACATTATCTCTGTGGCCTGGGCCTCGAAGTGGGTACCTCATATTGGCCAGCAGGCACTTAGCCCTGGCTCCTGCCTTCTGTCAGCCCTCAGGAGAGGCGGGTGACAGTGTGGGCCACATGTGTCCCTGCAGAAGGCTTGTATGTCAGCCCTCCAGCTGCAGGAGGCAGGGCAGTGGCCCTTGTGTCCCAGAACCAGTCTTCTCTTTCATGAAGCCTTCCCTGACCAGGCAGGGAGAGACCCTCGTGTTCCCTTGACAGTGTTCCTTTTCCCCAATACCAGTTCACACCCTTGCATGAAGCCTGAGCTCTGGGTGGTCAACCAGGTCTGTGGCATTGGGGCCTAGCTCATGGAGGTGTTGGTAGTGCTTGTAAGATGGAGGAAGAGGTTCCTGGCCTTGCAGAGGGAGGTCAAGCACCCAGCTCCAGGCTAGACCCAGGTGCCTTTTTCCATGGGGGCTTAGTCCTGGGAAAGCTGCTTGGAGCCAAGTGTCCAGGGCTTGGAGGGCTGCAGGAAGCAGAAGAGGCAGACAGGGCATAAGCCCTGGGAAGCAGTCTAGGCCCAGCCCCCCTTGCCACACAGCTAGGCACTGCTTCTACAGGAGAGTAGAGGCAACTCCCCCTCTTCAGCCTGGGCCACCAGTAGGGACTGGTTCCTTGGGGCTCCCCTTTGGGCAGGCCTGGGTTTTGGGGCTGTCTCTGTGGTTGGCCGTGGGAGCCCTTGGGTCCCTCACTGGCTCGGCTCAGCAGGAGGGATGTGATCAGCTCAGCAGCAGGTTTTGCTGCTACAGAAGACCCAGGTGTCTGGCCAGTGCCTGGATGGGCCCCTCTGGAGTGGTGGGGACAGGGAGGGACTTCCCCTTGCCCAGAACTGGTGTTGGCTGAGGTGGGTGCCGAGTCTCGGAGCTTGGGGATGGAGATCAGATAGGGCTGGGTCTGCAAGCCTGAGGCTCTGCCCTGAGCTCAGGCTGGGACATGCCCAGAGGTGTTGGGAGGAGCTGGGGTGAGTGCCCTGTGGCCTGGACTAAAGGGGCTGCACCCTCCTGTCCATCCCTCTCAGATCTTGAGCAATGCCCGGTTATTTCTGGAGAACCTCATCAAGTAAGTGCCTTTGCCAGGTCTTGCTCCTGCCCCACCCATGGACTGCCCAGGGGCCACCCCATGGCCCCACCTGCCACCCACTCAGGTCCTCACCACTCCACCCCCAGGTATGGCATCCTGGTGGACCCCATCCAGGTGGTATCTCTGTTCCTGAAGGATCCCTACAGCTGGCCTGCCCCATGCCTGGTTATTGGTGAGCTAGGCTCTGAGGAGGGCCTTGGGTGGGGATCAGGCTGGCATGGCCCTGAAACTGCCCCTTGGTGCTTCTATCCACAGTGGCCAATGTCTTCGCTGTGGCCGGGTTCCAGATTGAGAAGCGCCTGGCGGTGGTAAGCACTGCCCCTCACCTCCGTGTGCGCTCACCTTGCTGTGTGAGTTCTTGGGAGGAGCTGCTCCCCAGGCTTGGCAGCCCTCCCCCAGGCAGTGGGAGCCCTGGCTGACTACTCTGTTCCTCACTCCAGGGTGTCCTGACGGAGCAGGTGGGGCTGCTGCTACATGCGACCAACCTGGCCACCATTCTGTGCTTCCCAGCGGCTGTGGCCTTGCTGGTCGAGTCCATCACTCCAGGTGTGCTCCCACCCTATCCTGCTCAGCTGTCTTGTGCGAGCCACAGGCACAGCCTCTGGCTGTGGCCCTGTGGAGGCCTGAGCCCGTCTCTCCTGCAGTGGGCTCCCTGCTGGCGCTGATGGTGCACACCATCCTCTTCCTCAAGCTCTTTTCCTACCGAGATGTCAACTTGTGGTGCCGCAGGGCCAGGGCCAAGACTGGTGAGGGGCTGCTGGGGGTTGGGGCTGCCTGCTAGGGGGCTGGGTGGCAGCAGGACCCCACCACTTCCCTCCCACTTTGCTGTGCTTCTAGCCTCTGCAGGGAAGAAGGCCAGCAGCGCTACTGCCCTGCACACTGTGAGCTACCCAGACAACCTGACCTACTGTGGTGAGGACCTCCGGGGGGCTGAGGTGTGGGGGCCAGGCCAGGCCTGTGCTGGTGCCAGCCCTCCATTCCCATTCCAGATCTCTACTACTTCCTCTTCGCCCCCACCTTGTGTTACGAGCTCAACTATCCCCGCTCTCCCCGAATCCGGAAGCGCTTTCTGCTGCGACGGCTCCTTGAGATGGTGAGGTTGGGGGCTGAGGGGTGCCATTGGAGGTTGGGGGGCCTCCTGGCTGGCCAGGGCCTCAGCTGGCTGCTCTCTGGTTCCTCCCCCAGCTGTTTTTCACCCAGCTCCAGGTGGGGCTGATCCAGCAGGTAAGTGGGGTGTGGCAGGGTTGGATACAGCTGGCACAGCTGGGAGCTGACATGGTGCCCTCCTTTGCAGTGGATGGTCCCTACCATCCAGAACTCCATGAAGCCCTTCAAGGTGAGTGGCTCAGGTGCTCCTGTGGCTGGGGTGGCTGGGGAGAACAGCTGGCTGAAGGGCTTGTTTCTGCAGGACATGGACTATTCACGCATCATCGAACGCCTCCTGAAGCTGGCGGTGAGTGCGGGCAGGACAGGAGGGGTCGGTAGCATGTACTGAAAGGTTCTACAACTTGGTGCCCATCCCCACTTTCCCGCCAGGTCCCCAACCACCTTATCTGGCTGGTTTTCTTCTACTGGCTCTTCCACTCCTCCATGAATGCTGTGGCTGAGCTCATGCAGTTTGGAGACCGGGAGTTCTACCGGGATTGGTGGTGAGTGGCCCTGGGATGCTCCTGGGGTCCTGGGATGGACCATGGTGTGCTCTGACCCCCCCCCCCAAATCTGCTCTTGGCCCCAGGAATTCCGAGTCTGTCACCTACTTCTGGCAGAATTGGAACATCCCTGTACACAAGTGGTGCCTCAGGTGGGTAGTGTGTGTGCCTGTGGGGGGGATGTCGAACATGGCTGTGAACCTGAGCCCCTTTCCCTGTCCCCTCCTCTGCAGACATTTCTACAAGCCCATGCTTCGAAGGGGCAGCAACAGGTGGATGGCCAAGACAGGGGTGTTCCTGGCCTCAGCCTTCTTCCACGAGGTCAGTGCTCTCTGGGACATCCTGCCTCATCCCTGGGCAGGGGTGTGCCAAGAACAGGGATGGCTGACACCCCATTCCCTGATGTCCCCTCTTCCTCCTCTCCAGTACCTGGTGAGCATCCCTCTGCGAATGTTCCGCCTTTGGGCATTCACAGGCATGATGGCTCAGGTGAGTGACCCCCATGTGGCCTCCTGACTTGCTCACTTACCCCTGCCTGAACCCCTGGGCTGATCCCTTGGAGCCCCCAACTCTATGACTGACTGACTTGGGCCCACCTTTCCCAGGTCCCACTGGCCTGGTTCGTGGGCCGCTTTTTCCAGGGCAACTATGGCAATGCGGCTGTGTGGGTGACACTCATCATTGGACAGCCAATAGTCGTGCTCATGTACGTCCATGACTACTACGTGCTCAACTATGAGGCCCCAGCAGTAGGGGCCTGAGCTGCACCCACGCGCCTGGCTTCTCACTGCCACCTCACACCTGCGGCCAGAGCCAGCCTCTCTTCCTGGGCCTCGAGTGCTAGGGACAGGCCTGGCTGCACAGTACCCTCCTCCTGCCCCAGGGAGACCTCTCTGCCCCTATGGGGCTCTGTCCTGCACCCCTCAGGGATGGCGACAGCAGGCTGGAGCCAGCTGGGAGCCTTGCTGACCCTGCCCCCGGGGTCTGATGGTGTCAATAAAGTGCTGTCCAGTCACCTCTTCAGCCTGCTAGGAGCCTGAGGACCGGTGGGAGGTATGGCCATACCCACAGGCGCAAGTGCCAGGGCCACATGGACAGCTACTCCAGGGGCCAGGAGGTCTGTTGTTCTCCAAGCTACCTTGTGTGCCTGTGTGGGCCTCAGGGCCCCAGGACTTGCTGGGAGAGGCAGCTCCACTGCAGCAGGGTGGGCCTGGCCGGTAGGGGGAGTGCAAGGTCAGGCAGACGTCTCCCTTCCCTGCACTCCCCCTTAGAAAAGCTCAGCTCAGGCCTCCTGTCCTGGCACTACCTCTGCTGGATATGGGGGAATCGCACCCTGGCCCTGGCTGCAGGATGAGCCTGCCTGGCCAACTTGGATCCACCATGCTCAACCTCCGCTTGGGAAGAGGTGGCCCTGGGCTTGTTGGAAGTGGGCCCCAGCCAGGGTGGCCCAGGGATGGGCAGTCCCTAGGGCCTTTCTGGCATGTGTCTGGTGAGCTGAGAGGCTGTGGTGCACAACGGCTGTGTCCATGGTCATTCACCTTGGGGCAGGGCCACCCCTGGTCCCCAGGCCTTCCTTGCCCTCTGCACTCCTGGCACCAGGCTGGGCAGTGTAACAGTGCAGCCTTGCAGCCTTCCTGATTGCAGAGATATCAGGGGTAACCCCAGGGTCCTGCTGCTGTCTTACCTTGCTGGGGTGACTACCTGATTAAAGATCTCAAAACTACACCAGTCCCTGGTTCTCTCAGACCTGCAGCTGTGGCCCAACAGGCAGGTGTTTTAGGCCCTGTACCGGTCCCAGGGCTGAACCCTGGGTCTCATCAGCAACCCATTGGACTGTGATGGCCTTGTGGGGAGGGTGGGCTACCTTGGTGGTGTGCTCCCTCTACCCCAGTAGGGGCTGGTGGGTCCTGTGCCGGAGGCAATAGTGGGTGAGCTCTTGCCTGGGGGACGGGTGTGGGGTCCTGACTCCCTCATGCTGCATACTCCCCACCCCTTGGTCAATGGAGCCTGAAGACAAGCTGTTGCTGCCAGATAAAGAATGGAACAGAGGCTGAGAAGGCCTTGCCCAGGAGGCAAAACCCGTTCCATTGCCCACCCCAGGCCACCTGGGAGACCACCTTCCCTTCCTCCACCAGGACGAGTGGGAAACCCTGAGGCCATGGGACAGGCTCCCATTGCCCATGCCTACATAGGAGGGTTCAGGCTCTGATAGAAGACGGTGTGCCCACCCTGTGTCCTCATTCCTGAGTGCAGACACCTTGGGAAGGGGGTTCCTTGTAGTCCTTGGGTGCCCAACTGTGGTCCCTCAATAAAGAGCTACAAGTGAATGCTGGTCCTGCAGAGTTGGGTGTGCATAGGGTGCTGCAAACATCTGCCTTCCCCCAGGAGGCCACTGCAGCCCAGCCCTCCTGTGCCCTGGGCCGCTCCTCACTGCACCCCCACCCACCACACCACTCTGGGACAGAGGAACCACATGGGAGGCCACAGCATAGAGCCTGTCTGTTTATAGATCTCTGCCTGTCTCGTCCGTCTGTCCACCCGTGTGTATATATCTGTATATCTCTATGGAACAGGGAACAGGATAGTTGTGTAAAAATCCAAAATACAATTCTGACTATGAACAACCTGCAGGGTCAGTCCAGGTGTGGCTGTGAAGCCCTAACCAAACCACAGGACACGAGGTTGGGTGAAGGCAGACTGGCAGGTGGGCGACTCTCCTGACCAGAGGTGCTGCCCAGGCCCAAGCCCCTCTGTGTATCCTGCTGGGGCTGTGGTGGCCAACCCACCAGTGCCCAGGACCATGAGCCTGCCCTGCCTCCCCAGGACCAGCCCTGCACTGGGGGTGGGGGTGGGCAGGCCATGGCTGGCCCGGCTCCTCCCAGTCATCTAGGAGATAGTGGGGTCCTTGGCTTTGGGAGGCTCTGAGCCCGTCAGCAGGGAGATGGTGGGGTCCTCTGCAAAGCTGTCCCCTTCGGAGAAGTAGGAGCCCTCTCCCAGCTCAAACAGCACGGGCAGGTCGCTGCTCCCGGTGTCCACGGAGCCAGGGTCCAGCAGGAACAGGGGCTGTGCCGTGTAGTGCACCAGCTGCTTCCCTGTGGGGATGGGGGGTGTCAAGGCTGTGGGGGTCGGGGCAGAGAGGGAGGCTGAGGGGATCTGGCTCACCTGAATCCGGGCTGCTGTTCTCTGCCTCAGGAGGCCTGGGGGGCTCCTGGGGAGATAGGAGCTCCTGGATCTGTGGTGTGGAGGGGTACAGTGAGTATTCCTGCCTGTCTCATTCCCCCCCACCCCCCCACCCACCTACGCACACTGGCCAGGCTGCTGTCAAGGTCAGGCAGGCTCATGTCGGGCACAGTCACCGAGGGGCTGAACAGCTGCAGAGGATCGAGGGAAGTCAGCACTGCACCTGGGGCGGGATGGGGCGGGGTGGGGCGGGGTGGGGCTTGACTCACGTCCAGCAGGGCGCTGGTGTCCACACTGAAGCCGTGGCTGCTCAGCATGGTCTGCAGGTTGTCCAGGTTGGAGTCCATAGCATCCAAGTGATCACTGAGCTCATTCCTGGCCCGGAATGACAGGGTGGATGAAAAAGTGCCCCAGGCCCTGCACCCTGATGCCCTCCTGCAGAAGGGCTCCCCTTGGCTGTGTCCCCCAGGCAATGCCCCCGTGTAGGCCTGCACAGGCTGGAAGATGGCCTGGAAGGCGGTGGGGGGCTCTGTGCCCTGCATGGGTGTGGCTGGACCCATGGGGGGCATCCCGTCACCATGAGGGCCTGGAGGCCTTGGTGGCAGCAGGAGAGAAGAGGTGTATTCAGCTCCAGCATGAGGGTCGGGGTTTCAGTTTTCAGGGTTGCTGAGGTTTCCCGATGTGTTTGGAAAACGGCTGGGGCTGTGCTCAGCGTGTGGGTGGCTCAGCCGGTGGGTGGCTCAGCCGGTGCCCCAATGCTGCTGTGGGGATAAGACCCACGGTCTGGTGGCGGTGACCAAGAGAGCCCAAGGCAATGGGGCACACCTGAGCCATTGGACAGGCAGCCAGGCTGGATCCTGGAGGTGCCCCAGAGACCACTCCTGACAGTAAGTGCAGTCAGTGCCGCAGCCTGGATCCTGCCAGCACCAGAGGCCGTGCCAGACCAGGGAAGCCTGTCCTTGTCACAGGCAATGACCACAGGCCTGTGGCCAGGGGAGGCAGGATGACATTGAGCCCCCATCACGGAGGGGCCCAGAATGCTATTGCCCAGGCCCAGTGCTCATGCCCGGCCAGGCTGGGTGTGGTCCACAGCTGTGTGGGAGGGCCCAAGCTGTGGCAGGGCCCTCCTCCCTCCCAAGTGGGGTCAGCGCTAACCCTGGCTGGACTCGGCCACGTGGAGAGGAAGAGGGGCAGGGGAAGAGGCGGGTGACCCCAGACATCTGTGGAGTTCGAGCCAAACTGCAAGATACAAAAACAAGAGTCCCCATTGCAGGCAGGGGCTGGGCAGGGCCTGGGGGTGTCGAGGCTGGGCCCCGCTCACCGTCTCCTGCTGTTGGTCTGGGTGGCACGACTGATGCTGGGACCCGTGGCCTGTGGCGAGAGGGTGGCGGCAGCAGGAGGGGTGGCCAAGAGCAGGGCCCAGCAGCCTGTCCTGCCACACCCTCGGCTGCTATGGGGTGATCTGGTTGGCACCTGTCTCCCTCCCACCCCGAGCTGAGGTTGGGGCAGCACTCACTTGTCCAGGCAGGCTACACTGAGGCACTTTTCAGGTGTGGAGGTGGGCGGGGGTGAGGGGGGTCGGCCCTCGGTGTCCGTGTGGCCCCTGGCGTCCGTGAGGGCTGTGGCGGAGGCGGGGGCAGGCTCACTCTCCCGCAGGATGGAGTCAATGAGGGCGGTCGGGGACAAGAGGGTGTCCACAGAAGATGGGTTCCCGGGACTCGCCTCCTCTACCCGGGGGCTCTGAGGCGGGCTGGGGGGCTCCTCCTTGACACGCACCAGGGGGCTGCTGGACAGGGGCCTGGACACCAGGCGGGGCCACATTAGCTGGCGTCTTGGGCGGCCCTACCTCACCCCCAACTCTGCCCTGGGCCCAAAAGGGCTCGCCTCGTTGGGGGAACAGGAGGGCTGGGGTGATGTGGCCCCCACCTCTCATCTATGCTCCCGCCGGGGGAGGCCACGGGGCTGGCAGGAGCCAGCTCAGTGATGTCGGAGATGATGGGTCCAGAGCTGGCCACAGCATCGGGGGCGTAGAGGCTGGAGCTGCTGTAGGCCGGGGATGGGGCCTGCAATCAAAGGCAGGAGGCCCATGAAACTCGGGCTGGGGTGACCCCCCCATCACTGTCCACATGCCTGGATGGGAGCCCTGTCCCCGGGGCTCACCGAGTAGGGGCCCGTGCCATGGACGTGCTCCAAGGAGAACTGCCGGCCATACTTGGGCATGGAATGTGCCGAGCCGCTGTCGTTCAGCATCAGGGGGCTGCGGGAAAGGGTGCAGGTCAGCTGCCTCCCTGTCTTGGGCACCCAGGGCAGAGCTGACAGAGGAGGGGGATGGCCCTGGGCCCCGTGCCCCGTGTGGCGGATGCAGGTGTCCCCAGAACCTCACATCTTTCTCTTCACCCCCAGGATCCGGTTTGACTGCACCAGCGAGATGAGGAACTGAATGAGCTGTGGGGAGAGAGGACACAGTCACCTCGGCACTTGTGGGGCCCCCGCTGGCCCTCTGGCCCTGCCCCCACCTTGTTGACGACTTTCTGCTGCTGGGCATGCTTCTGCCGAAGGCTGGCCACCTCCCGCCACAGAGCCTCATTCTCACTGCAACAGACCAGGCTGGGTCAGTGGGGCCCAATTCCAGGAGCCCCACAGACCCTCCCGTCTCCCAGGTGGGAGCAGGGGTGAGTGTGACCATGTCTGGCCTGGCCCAGTCCAGTATGAGAACTGCTGTGTGGAAGGGCTAGGGGACAGGCCAGAGCTTGCTGGTCCCACTGCCCCTCCCTGCTGGGGACAGCTGGTGTCAGGTAGGGTGGTTGAGGACAGAGCGAGCCAGGTGCACCTGGATCCTGGCATCCATCCTGGACAACATCTGGAGGGATGCCTTAAGGGCAGACAGACCCTTGAGCCTCCCCTACGAGGCCTGAGAAGCAAAGTTTGGGGAGGATGGTTCATCAGGCTGCACCACCAGCTGTCCTGTGTCCTGCAGATGCTCAGGACCCTTGACAGGCCTAGGAGTGGCTCAGAGGTGGCCCCACGGGGTAGGGAGAAGCTTCCTGAGCATTATCTCCAGGCAGGTGAGCAGGGCAGTGAGCGGGCTCCTGCTGCTCTGGGAGGCTATGCCCAGCCAAGCCTGTGAGTCTTCTTGGGGCCACCCTGAGAGGCGCCTGTGTCCTAGTAGGCCATGCCCATGTGGTCAGATTCCAAGAATCACAAAGCCAGTGGCTCCTGCTGGACCCCATGAGGGAGAGTCTGAGGCCAGCGCCTCCTCCATGACGTGGGGGTCAAGAGCACCTGCTGCTCGGAGCTGAGGATGCCGCACTGGGGTGTGAGACCTGAGCTGGCCTTCTGAAGTCGCCCTGCCTCAGCTTCTCAGGCAACACTGTGTGTTAGGCCCCTGCTGAGGTTTCCCCAGAGCCATAGGGTCCTGGAGAGGAGGGACTGGGGGGCTGGCTCCACAGGCCCAGGCACGTGTGGGGCAGAGATGCATCTGCCCCCAGGGTTGAGGCGGCTGGGATGGTGACCTGCTGCACCTCAAGAAGGAGTCATGGTGAGGGGACGGGGGAGCAGCAAGCAGTCTGGCCACAGGCCTGCTGCGGAAGCTCCTGCTGACCCTGGCCTGTGGGAGGGGTCTGCTGTACAGGGTTTGTGCTCAAAAGTAGGCTGGTGGGTCCTGCCAAGCTTGGCACCCAGCTTGCCTGTGCTGTGAGCCCCAGGAAGCCAGGATGCCCAGAAGGCACTGGAGGAGATGTACAACTCCCTTCTGCATATGGAGAATGGCCCTAGAGCTTTCGAAGCAGCCATCGGTGGCTGGGCTGGGACAGAGGCCCAGGGTAGATCTATGTGGAGGGGGAGGGTGGGGCCGAGCACCTGGTGCCCCAGACAAGGCTCTGCCCCTACATCACACAGGGCCTCCTGGTGGGCGCCAGGACCCACTGCAGCCCACAGTGCTGGTGTGGGACCTACTGCTTCATGGCCAGGAGCTTGGAGTCCATGCACTCCTGCTTCCCCTTCATCAGCTGCACGTCCGTCAGCAGCTTAGTGACGCTGTCCTGGCGGATCTTGATGTCCTCGCTCTTCAGGGTGGAAACCTGGATCCCCCCCACCCCGCCCCAAGAGGAACAGGAGTCACTGAAGTGGCCTGGGAGCTTGGCAGGCTCAGCCTCGCCCACGGCCACTGGGTGTCCCAGGAAGGGGACGGGCTGGGGTGGGAGCTCTGAGGGAGAGGTGGGTGGGGAGAGCTGTGGGAGGCGAGGGCAGGCGAGGGTACAGGCCACACTTACACTGGTCACTTTCCTCTTGATGTTCTCAAGGAGCCGCTCCTGGCCACGCAGGAAGCACGGGTGCTGGAACTCCGTGTCGTCTCTCTCTGGCTTGACCAGGCCGCCCTGCTCGATGTGGACCACTTTCCGGAAGCCATCTGCACATAACAGGGTGGTGGTGGCTCTGCCTCAGGACGGGACCAGACAGCCTCCAAAAGCGGCCACTGCCCCGGGAGGCTGCTGGGGACTTGGCCCTGGTAAGACCCCATTTTGCCTCCTCAGAGCCCATGCCTGGGTGGCCAGGTGGTCTTGGTCTAAGGGAGACCCCGTGTCCCCACAGGGCTCCCCGAGCCCGACACACATGTGAGTTCAGCTCAGGCTTCACGGTTCTTCCCTGGGGACCCCAGGTTCACACCCACAAGGACCCTCCCCCACCATGGAAGAGGCAGCTGCCCCTGGCCCCCAGGCATGTAGGGTTCCACACCACGCCCCTGGCCAGCACAGAGGGGGCCCATCCTTCTTCCACAGGGTCCTCACTGTCTGCAGGCCCACCTCCGCACGCCCACGCCCCTGCCTGCCCAGAGGCAGCACTCACACATGTTGAGCTGCCGCACGAAGCTGGCCATGTTGTTGTGCTTGAAGTACTTGGGCAGCACCTCCTTGGCAAACTGGCCCTGGTCGAACACATGGAAGCTGTTCCCACTCTGTCAGGAGACACATGGGCGGGTCACACGTGGCGGCAAGGGGCAGCGCGCCTGGGCCACCCCTTGTGCAATGCACGTCCCGCCCGATGGGGCCGGGGCTGGCAGGAGGTGAGTTTGTTCCTGCGACCACCTGCCACCTGGGCCTCATCTATGCTGCATGGTCTGCATCCTCACTGAGGCCCAGGACTTGGCAGTGGGCAGATGCAGGGCCTTCCTGGCAGTCGGGAAGCCCCTCCCCAGGCATTCTAGAGATGAGCCATGCCACCTTTCCCCTCACGAAGCACCCACCGCACTCTGGCCTGTGTCTGTGGGATGAGTGTTTGGCTTTAAGCAGCACATTTCCCTTAGGAACAGCTAAGGAAAGGGAACCCTAATTTCATCATTCCCTAGGAAAACACAGTTGTGTTCAGAAATCCAAGTTCATTCTTGTTTTGTCACATGAGACAAGAAACAAAGATATTCAAACACTGCATATACTCTTCCTTTTCCATTTCTTTCCTGAGCTCAGGCCCGGAGCCATTAGGAGAAGTTGGTGAGGGAGGCATCCCTGCTGGCCGTCGCCACGGTGGCTCAGAGGGGACAGCGAGAAACCCACACAGCAGGGAAGGGGGCCTGGAGCAGGGCCAGCAGGTGACGAGGGACACTTTCCTAGGAAGTTGAAGACCCAGTGAGGAAATCAGCTCAGGGCAGGGGGATAGGTTTCTCCTTGTCAGGGAAGGGAGCTACAGATGTCGACAGCAAGAAAAGCCAGGACTCCATGGTGTGGTACCAAGTGGAGAACCGCTTTCCAGCACAGACGTGAAAATAAACAGGGCTGTGCGTGTGTGCGGAGGGAGGCGGTCAGGGAAAGGACTCCAAAACAGCAGAAGACAGAAGGTGAAAGCCGCCAAGCGACTTTCCAGAACTCTGAAAATTAACCAAAGCATCACAGTAGCACAGGGAGCATTCATTCAAGAAAAGCAGCCCAATCTTAGTAAGAACTGTGGGCTTTGTGACTTTTATTTTTTTTTTGAGACAGGGTAGAGTTATAGAGATGGGGTTTCACCACGTTGCCCAGGCTGGTCTTGAATTCCTGACCTCAAGTGATCCATCCACTTCAGCCTTCCCAGGCGCTGGGAAAAGAGGCGTGAGCTACTGTGCCCGGCCAGGCTTTGTGGCATTTTAACATGCCCTATTCCCCTCCTTCTGCAGCCCTGAAAACCAACAGCTGCAGTCCCTGTGGGAACCAGCATCCTGGCAGCCACTGAGGTGTGGGGCAGGGCTTGGGCTCTTCAAGGCCTCATTCCCAGGGAACTGTCAGTATCTGACCTGAAGAGTTCACTTGCAAGGCTGTCTCTGATCTGACTTGAAGCTCTCCCGTATAAAAAGCCTTTTTCCTAGGTGTGCTGTAACATCTAGCGGTGATGTTTGAATGCTGTGGCTGCCTGAGGCATGCACGACAGCTAACCAGGAGACCGGGCAGGGAAAGATGGAGAAGGAGAAGGAGGCGCCACTAGGGGCTCTGAAAAGCTCTGAGACATTCCCGGACATCTTGCTCAGCTGGGTACATGTGCAGAGCCATGCCCATGTTCAAGAGAGACCCAAGCCAGCCCCCGAGCTTTCACCTCTGGCTGACCTTGAGGCTCTGCATAAGCAGGAGGGAATGGGTATAGTCAGGTTGTCCACTGCCTGCCCGAGTGCTGAAGGCATCCCCAACACACACACAGACCCCAAAGACGGGAGAGTCAGTGGCTCCAGGCATTCAAGAACGTTTCTGCCCCATCACCACCTAAGTCAGTTAACTGAACAGAGACTACAGTTGCCATAAACAGCCTTTACAGAATTAGTCCCAAAAAGCTACCAGACAATAACCGAAACAAACAGGACCCATGGCCAATCTGGGGAGGCGGGGGAATCCGAGCTCCAGAGCTGCCACTTGCTACCTGTTAGAATTCCAGTTTTCTAGTGGGGTATGCTGGCGCATGCCTCTGGTCCCAGCACTTTGGGAGCATGAGGTGGGTGGATCGCTTGAGCTCAGGAGTTGGAGACTGGCCTGGGCAACAAGGCGAAACCCCGTCTCCAGAAAAAATACAGAAATTAGCTGGGTGTGGTGGTACACACCTGTCATCCCAGCTACTCAGGAGGCTGAGGAGGGAGACCCCTTGAGCTCCAGAGGTGAAGGCTGCAGTGAGCTGTGACTGGGCTACCTCGCTCCAGCCTCAGTAACAGACTGAAAACAAACAAACAAAACTCTCGTTTTCCAAAAAAAAAAAAAAAAAAAAAAAAAAAAACTAAAGGAAACCACATCTGAAGAACTGAGGTATGAGAATGACATCTTACCAAACAGAATATATCAATAAAGAGATAAAAATTTAATTGTGGTTCTTGCCATTAAAAAAAAAAAGATAAAAATCATAAAGAAGCACAAAATCAGAATTATGGAATTGAAAAGTATCAATAACTCAGATTAAAAGTTAACCAGAGGGGCTCAAGAGCAGACCTGACTAGGAGACAGAGGGGTCAGCAAACATGAAGATAGGTCAATAAAAATAGTCCAGTCTGAGGAAAAGAAAGAAAAAAGAAGGAATAAAAATGAGCAGAGCCAGCTGGGCATGGTGGCTCAGGCCTGTAATCCCAGCACCCTGAGGGGCTGAGTTGGGTGGATCATGAGGTCAAGAGATTGAGACCTCCTGGCCAGCATGGTGAAACCCTGTCTCTACTAAAAATACAAAAATGAGCTGGGTGTGCTGGTGCGTGCCTGCAATCCCAGTTGCCTGGGAGGCTGAGGCAGGAGAATCGCTTGAATCCAGGAGGTGGAGGTTAGAGTGAGCTGAGATTGGGCCACTCTGCTTCGGCTTGGGTGACAATCCATCTCAAAAAACGAAACAAATCAAAGTATTAAAAGACCCTGCCACTCAGTCATTCTATATTGGCTGGGTGTGGTGACTCATGCCGTAATCCCAGCACTTTGGGAGGCCATGGCAGGAGGACTGCTTGAGCCCAGGAGTTGAAGATCAGCCTGGGCAACACAGTAAGACCCAGTGAGACTCCCCTTTGAAAATGGAGAGATTTCCACTTCTGGAACAGCCATGTGAGGAGCTTTGTGGAAGCACTTCCTGTGAAGCAAGCAAAGCTTGCTTAAAGTCTCAAACTGTCCTAAAGGCATCTAACAGATAAACACGTATTGAGTAAAATTTGCTAACACTTGGTATGAACAGCGACTCTTGGTGGCATTTGAGCCTCAGCTTCCTCTTTCCCTCCATCCCAGCTCGCCTGATGTACACTACAGTTGAAGGGAGGGGAACAAGAAGATGGGGATGCTTCTTTCCTCAGTTCCCAGTGGTTTCCTGGATCTCATGGGCTGGAAAGACCACCAGAACTTCTCATCCTCACTGACTCCAGGTTAAAGAGACTAAGTTCCTGGTGCATGTGACCAAGAGACTAGGGCTCCCTTCCTCCACCTTACCCACCCCTCCGAGTGGAGACTCCACCCCAGCCACAGCAGGCAGAGGACACCCAGGGCTCTGATCACCCTCTCCTCAGCTCTCACCTCATTAAAGCATTTTCAAAACTACAGTTTTTTTTTTTTGAGATGGAATCTCACTTTCTTGTCCAGGCTGGAGTGCAATGGCGCAATCTTGGCTCATTGCAACCTCTGCCTTCCAGGTTCAAGTGCTTCTCCTGCCTCAGCCTTCTGAGTAGCTGGGATTACAGGTGTGCACACCATGCCTGGCTACTTCTTATATTTTTAATAGAGATGAGGTTTCCCCAGGTTGGCCAGGCTGGTCTTGAACTCCTGACCACAAGTGATCCATCGACCTCGGCTTCCCAAAGTGCTGGGATTACAGGTGTGAGCCACCGTGCTTGGTCTTAAAAACCACAATTCAGGCTTTCTGGGTTAAAGCTGTAGGGTAGAACACCCATGCTGGGAAAGCCAGACCAAGAAGATCAGAGGCTGCTGTCTTGCCCAGTGCCCACAGCGGCGGCACAGAGAATTTGCCTGGGAAGGTAGGCTGTCCAGAAGCAAGGAGACCTGAAGCCCTTGACTTGAAAGTTCAGCCCAAGAGTGCTCTTAAAAACAATAGCTCTTTTAAATTAAGAGAAGCAAGTGAAACCACAGCCTTGTTCACCTGCAAAGGGAAAGCTGTGAAGAGCTCTGCTGGGGCCAGAACAACCCTGAGACTGACCTCAGAAACTACCACTGCTCAAAAGCCCCGCAAAACACCCCTGCACACAATAATTCAAACAGCAAGACCCCCATCTATGCAAAAAATAAAAAATAAAAGAGATGGAATCATAACCCCCAGCAGAAATTCTGGAGCTGAGCAGTACAACAAAGCAGAGCTGCTGGCCGTGTGGTGGATGCTTAACTTCACACAAATTCCCCGGCTGCTTTCCAAAGTGAGGCACCGTTCACGTTCTCAGCAGCGTGGGTGAGTTCCAGTGGCTCCACGCCCTCCTCAGCACCTGGTGTCAGCCATTCTAGTAGCTGTCACTGAGGTTTTGGTGGGCCTTTCTCTGACGACGAATGATACTGAGCATCTGTTCAAGTGCTTATTTGCTATTTATCTGTCTTCTTTTGATTTATCTGTTCAAACCTTTCGCATTTTCCAATACATGTTTTTTGAGGCAGTCTTGCTTTGTCGCCAGGCTGGAGTGCAGTGGCGTGCTTCAGCCTCCACCTCCTGGGATCAAGAGATCCTCCCGCCTTTGCCTCCCTAGTAGCTAGGAGATAGGAGCACACCACCATGCGGGACTCTTTTTTTTTTTTGTCAAGATGGATCTCCCTGTATTTCCCAGGAGGGTCTCAGATTCCTGAGCTGAAGCGATCTGTCCGCCTTAGCCCCACTAAGTGCTGGGATTACAGGTGTCAGCCACCATGCTCAGCCATTTGTCTTTTTTTTAAAGGGGTTGTCTTCCTGAGTTACAAAAATAAATAAATAAATAAATAAATAAATAAATAAAAATGAAAATAAATATATTCTGGGTACCAGATAGGTGCTCTGCAAATATAGTGTATGGTTTGTTTCTTAATTTCTTAACAGTGTATTTTGAAGAGGAGATATTTTTAACGTTGATGAAGCAGACTTTATCAATTTTTTCCTATTTTGTGGTGTCCTAACTCAAGATTAAAAGGGTTTTTTTTCTCGAGAAGTTTTGTTGTCTTGGTTCACATTTCACCTCCCATCCATTCTCGGTTTTGTAGATGGTGTGAGGTAAAGGGCAAGGCTCACGTTTTTGTTTATGGACGTCCCTTTTCCCAGCACTGTTTGTTGAACAGATTATTATTTCTCCATTGAACTAGCGGCACCTCTGTCAGGAGCAACCAGCCTTGGATGGGTGAGCCTATTTCTGAAGCAGGTAGTCTGCTCCGTTCGTTTACATGTTTACATTAATGCTGATATCTTACAGTGAGTCTTGAGGTCAGACAGTGTAACTCTTCTAATTTTGTTCTCCTTTTAGTAACACTAAGTCTTCTGTTCCATGAGCATACTATTTCTCTCCATTTATTTAGGCCTTTAACTTACCCAGTTTTTTTTTTTTTTTTTTTTTTTTTTTGAGATGGAGTCCTGGTGTAGTGGCATGATCCTGGCTCACTGTAACCTCTGCCTCCCAGGTTCAAGTGATTCTCCTGCCTCAGCCTCCCAAGCAGCTGGGATTACAGGCACATGCCACCATGCCCAGCTGATGTTTCTATTTTAGTAGAGACAGAGTTTTACCACGTTGGCCAGGCTGGTCTTGACGCCTAACCTCGGGTGACCCTCCTCGGCCTCCCAAAGTGCTGGGATTACAGGTGCGAGCTGGCATGCCTGGCCAAGGAGTCGAGTTTGGGCCAGGCGCCTGTTGCCCTGCTTGGGAAAGGTGTGGTACCTGGTGGTCAGTGGCAGCTGGACCCCTCTGGGAGGGAGCACAGACTATGGAGTTGGTTTCACCATGTTCCGGTGCTCACTTAGTCAAGCCTCTTCACACCATGAGCCTCAGTTTTCTTATCTAGAAAGTGGACATTGTGCCATCTGCATGAATGGCCATGGACAGAACAGGACAAAGATCGAGAAGGCCTGACCTCGTATTTTGCACAGAGGCTGTGCAAGGACAGCTGTGTGCCTTCACATGGCCATACCTGGAGGCACTCTGGTCCAGGGATACATCGGGGCCTCCAGACCCTGTAGTGCTCCTCACAGCTACTGTTGTGGGGCCTCTAGCATCTTGGGCCAAATGCCAACCTTCAAGCATGGAGCCAGTGGGCCTGCTGGGTCCTGGAAGCTCTCAGAACCAGGGGAGCAGGAGTGGCCCTGCCTGCTGTGGGAGCTCTGGACACGATCTGGGGCCAGGGTCTGAGTGACTGGGTGTGGCCAGGTCAGCTCCGCTTCTGTAAATCCTCATGTGTTGACGAGTGGACGCCTTGCCCCTTGCCTTACTGCAGGGAACACTCTGCTCCCAACTGTCCACCCAGAGACCCATCCCCTCCACCGTGGCCATCTGACCGCTGGCTTTCAGTGGACCCCACCTCACGGGATAGCCCCAAGGCCTTGTGACCTCCAGCTCTCTCAGTCTCAGGGACCCCCAGGGTCTCAGCACATTCTTCTAGAGTCCTTCCTGCTGCCAAAGAGAAGAGAGCTGCACCCATGTGGCTGGAGCCAGGTGAAGACAGATGACCAGGAACCCACATCAAAGGAGGCCCTCACTCTGAGGGCCATCCAAACGCAGGTGGGTCTTAAAAAGGAATGCCTCTGGGCCAGGCGCGATGGCTCAAGCCTGTAATCCCAGCACCTTGTGAGGCTGAGGTGGGAGGGCAGCTTGAGTTGGGCAATATGGTGAGACCCTGTCTCCACTAAAACCTTAAAAAAAAAAAAGCCAGGTGTGGTGGTGTGAGCCTGTAGTCCCAATGACTCAGCTGAGGTGACTGGATCACTTGAGCTCGGGAGGCAGAGGATGCAGTGAGCTGCAGTCATAGCCCTGCACTCCCGCCTGGGCGACAGAGAGAGACCTTGTCTAAAAAATGATAATAATATAAAGAGTGCTTCCTTATATTTTGCACCCAGGTGCCCCTCTGGCCTCACCCTGATCCTGAGGCCTGGGTCTACTGGAGTTCATCCTAACCTGCATTCATGACCAACATCCCAGCATTTGTCTGGCACAGGTCACGTGGCTGTGCCTTGTTCTTAGGATCCTCAGCCAGTTAGGTGGCTCCTGGGGCTCGGGTGCCACAGCCAGGCCTCAGTCTGGAGTCCACAGCTGCCTAGGGCAGCCACAGTTAGCCCTGTAGGGCAGGGGGACGTGGGGCTGGCTGGGCCAGTCTCTTTTTACAAAATGGATCAGGTTTGAAAACATTTCCTACTCCCACTTATGAAATATATGTTCACGTTTTAAAAAATCTTTTTAAAATATATGTTCACTTTTTAAAAAAGTACTTTAAAAAATATCTGTGCTGGGCACGGTGGCTCAAGCCTGTAATCCTAGCACTTTGGGAGGCCGAGGCGGGTGGATCACAAGGTCAAGAGATCAAGACCATCCTTGTCAACATGGTGAAACCCCGTCTCTACTAAAAATACAAAAAATTAGCTGGGCATGGTGGTGCGTGCCTGTAATCCCAGCTACTCAGGAGGCTGAGGCAGGAGAATTGCCTGAACCCAGGACGGGGAGGTTGCAGTGAGCCGAGATCGTGCCATTGCACTCCAGCCTGGGTAACAAGAGCAAAACTCCGTCTAAAAAAAAAAAAAAAAAAATCTATATCTATATCTATATCTATATCTATATCTATATATCTGTAATCTCTCCATCTAAGAAATACTTTTCATACTTCCTTTCAATTTTGTTAATAAAGGTGGGACAAAATCACTGCTTGTAAGAAACTGAGATGATGGTGAACTGAGATCTGGGCCTTCACTTTCTGCTTCTGTTTGGGTCTCCATGCTGTCAAATTCTCTGAAGAGTCAGCTGCAGCCCAGCAAGGCCCTATAAGAGCCTCCGCTGGTGGGCAGAGGAGCTGCTGCATGCAGAGGAGGAAGGTGGGCTGAGAGCTGGCACCAAGGCACGGGGCAGGGAGGGTCCGGGTCCTGGGTCTCAAGCTCTGCCTATGGAGCTGCCTGTTGGTCCAGGTATTCAGCACCCACACCCCCCATGTCTTTAGGTCTCAGCGGTACTGGATCCAGGTGCGCCTTTCGGATAAGCTGTTGAGAAGTTGCTGAGGGAGGACCACCCATGTCCATGCCTATGCTCTTGTGTGGATCCACCTGTGATCATAACTTTGTGGATGACACAATTCCTCTCCAGGGCAGGCAGGGCTATGCTGTCCTCCATGACTTGCTGGGTCCCCTCTAGGCCCTTGCCTGTGTGGTTGGGCACACGTGGGAATGAGGGTCTAGGGGGTGGGAAATCAAACACCACAGGGATGGGGCAACTACCACAGTCCCCATGAAACGAGCTCTCCTGGGCAGCGAGCCAGTGTTCTGCCTCCTGGCTGCAGTGGAGTCCAGATCTCAGGCCAGGAAGGGGAAGTGCAATGGCTGTCCAGACCTGGTCCCATTCCTGGCCAGGTGCAGTGAAGTCACTGGCCAGTTTTTGGGCCTCAGTCTCCCCCAAGTAATTCAGCCTTGAAAGTCAGTCACCATGCCTGTAATTCTGCCTTATCTTCTTATGACAAACAGGGATGGTTTTCCTTGGCAGAATGGTGGTAAGACTCTGAGCCAGAAGGGGACTGTCCCAGAGAAGGCAGCAGACAGCATGAGGAGCAGGGCTTTCTAAGGCCTCCGACAGCCAGCAGGGCCTGGCCAGTAGGTTGATGGTAGGGTCCCCTTTTGGGACTCTGCCAACAGGGAGTCCTCAGGGCTTGTGTGAGTGCCGTCAAAGCCACAGGATGGGATGATCACCTCCTTTCTCCAGGATAGGCAGCCAGGGCCAGAAAGCTCTGCATTCCCCTGCCCAACCTGGAGAAGAGCTTCTTTCCATTCTAAGTCAGTGTTTCTGTCTCATTGCCATGCTAGCCCCCACTGCTATGTCCCACACCAACCATGGCCACTTCATACTGACCAGGTGGAACCAACACTCACATTCCAGTCAGCTCCCCATCCCTCCCCAGGGAGAACAGGCCCACAGGTGGTACACCTGTGAGTGGAGTGGAGGCCAGCCACAGGCCTGATCACATCTGCCTCCTTTGCTCAAAAGCCCTGCCCAAGACATGCCTTGGTCCCAAAAACAGTACGCTGGGACCTAACCCACACGCCTCATAATCTTTAAGCAGAAACAGCAAGCAGACTACAGGACAGAATAGGTCATGCTAGTAGGATTAGGCTTAGAATATCCCAGAGAATCTCGGATGCCCCTCCCCGAAGGGGCAGGAGAGTACTTCTGAGAGTTAAGGGGAATAGGAAAAAGAAGGGCTGGGCGCCGTGGCTCACTGTAATCCCAGCACTTTGGGAGGCCAAGGTGGGTGGATCACTTGAGGTCAGGAGTTCCAGACCAGCCTGGCCAACGTGGTGAAACCCCATCTCTACTAAAAATACAACAGTTAGCCAGGAGTGGTGGCATGCACCTGTAATCCCAGCTACTTAGGAGGCTGAGGTAGGAGAACTGCTTGAACCTGGGAGGTGGAGGTTGCAGTGAGCTGAGATTGAGCCACTGCACACTCCAGCCTGGGCGACAGAGCTAGACTCTGTCTCAAAAAAAAAAAAGAAAAAAGAAAAAGAAGGATTAAAGAAGACAGAAACATGGGAGAATTTCCTTTGCATAAGAATGCCAAGGTCTAGAGTGAAGAGGGTGAAGTGAAGTCAGGCTGCAGGAAGGTGCACTGCACCTCACCTTATGGGGACTTGGGAATGGGAAGCCAACGCAGAGGCATCAGCAGGACACATACAAAGAGTTTCTAACAAGAGCAAGATTTCCAGTCTTCTCTTTATTCCCAAACACTCTGTAGGTAAAGCAGAGCCTCAGTAAACCTGAGAAGCAGAAAACCTGGCCTCCTGGCTGGGTCAGCTTCAGTTCACTTTTCTTCATTCCTAACAGCATAAGGAGGCTGTGCAAACAGGAGGCACTCAGCAGAGCCTGAAGAGCTCTGGAGTCTTAGCTCCTGGGAGGCCACACATGTTTGGTGGCACCCCGCCTGTCACAGTCCCTCCAAAAGCTCCCAATTATCAGTGGCTTTCTGTGTTTTGTCTGAGACAGGGTCTCACTCTTGCCCAGGCTGGAGTGCAGTGGCAGGATCTCAGCTCACTGCAACCTCTGCCTCCCAGGTTCAAGGGATGCTCCTACCTTAGCCTCCCAAGTAGCTGGGACCACAGGCAAGTGCCACCAAGCTCGGCTAATTTTTTCATTTTTAGTAGAGTGGGGGATTCGCCAAATTGTCCGGGCTGGTCTCGAACTCCTGGCCTCAAGTGATCCACCCCCTCTGCCTCCTAAAGTGCGGGGATTACAGGCAGGAGACACCCTGCTCGGCCAGTGTGGCCTTTCTTCAGGCCATCAATTGCCAGCCATGGGCTGTGGCTCTGCCCCTCACCGGACACGACGTCACAACCGGGATGCGAACAGCAGATTCTGATCTCCAACTCCAGACAATTCGCTGATTTACTTCTGCAAACCGGAGCTGTCCGGTGTTGCAGGGTCGGATCATGTAAACAAGCCTGCTGCCAGGCAACTGAAGACAGAGGCACGAATAAAGACGCCCCGTAAGGAATGGAAACAAACTCCTCTTGGGAAACCCAGATTTGGGATTTGGAAACGGGCTTGAGATCAACCTGAAGCTTCATGACGTCTTCTTACTTTCTGTTTTCACGGCCTTTCCTGTTCCACTACAGCAACGCCCTCCGCTTCACGTGCCAAGTCCTGACTTTCTCGGAATAGCTGCCGACCCAGCACCCCGTAGGCCATGCCCTGGGGACGCCGATGTCCCCTGGGGCACAGCGTCCGCTGTCGAAGCCGGGCGCTTGCCCCAAGTGCAGACACTTCCGCAACCGCCCAACAGTTAGCAGAAGCCCAAGGCAGGGGACGCCCCATTCACCCCATCCCAAGGAAACTTCGCTAGGGCAGGAATTAAACCGGGAATGGGCCTCGCAGCCACTTTCCCAACCTAAGGCTCTGGGTCTGGGCAAGCTCGGGACCCGTCGCCCTTCTCCGGCGGGGCCATGGCAGGCTCACTCCGCGGAAGCCAAGGTGCGGCTGGGCCCGGCTCTCCAGTCCCCTCGCCGAGCCCCTCCCGCGCCGTCCGCCGCGGCCCTGCTCCCTCCCGGTCCCCACGGGCCCCACGCCCGCGCGCTGCCCTTACCGGGCTCCAGCATATGAGCGCGTCAGTGTCCGGGTCGCTCACGAGGGTCCACAGTTTGGTCAGGAAGGCCGGGACGTTGCTGGGCCCAGCGGCGCCGGGGCCCACTGGCAAATCCATGTCGGGGAAGGCGGGAAGAGGCGGAGGGAGCGGCCGCGAAGGGGGATCGAGGGCCGGGCTAGCGCCGTCGCCGCGCCAGCCGCCCAGGCCGCAGTGCCACCCGCTGCGCACACACAGCCCCGGGGCCCAGCATGGCCGTCGCCATCTTGCAACGGGCGCGCTCCCGCCGCCGCCGCCGCCGCCACCGCCCTCCGGCGTCACCCCCGGCGCGCGCACGCAGGCCCCGACCCCGCCCCGGCCCCTCCGGGAGCCTGCGCGTGCTCGTCCCGCCTCCGTCACCCGCCAATCGGGACCAGGTTGGGCGGGGCGCACCCTCCTGCGCACGCGGCCCTATCGCTGCCGGAAGCGGCAGTTGGGCTCGCGGCCGGCGCGCGGCGGGACATGGCGGATTCGCTCAGCGTGCGGCCGTGGAAGCGGCGGTCGGAGCCCGCGTTGGAACCTGAGCCCGAGCCAAAGGTGACTGCAGGGATGCAGGGCGGAGGGGCGCGTCCCTATCGGGACGCGGCGTGCACGTGGCCGCGCGGGGGCCGGCGGGCCCGGCTGCGGCTGTCATCTGGGCGCCCGTGTCCCGTAACTCGGCCTTGCGCGTGGCCGCAGCTCCTCTGCGGGGGGCGTCCTAGGCAGAGCGGACTGCGGGGTGAAGGACCGCGTCCAGTAAGCAAAGAAACGGGGGAGCGGGGAGAAGTGGGGACCGGGCCCTTGCAGCAGACTCTCCAGCCGTTCCGTTTGTGCATCCTGCCAATAAAAGGGCTCGGCTTGCGCCCCCCAGTAAATGCTTAACCTATTTGTACGCTACTTAATTTCGTTTTTATGGTCACGAGTTAGACATGAGAATAAGAAAACCTGAATAGAACCCATATCTGCTGCATTTGCTGTATCAGAATTCACTGTTGTTCTCTGCCAGCTCAGCCCCGGCTTGATTGGGGGGGTCGTAAAATTGGGTGTTGGAGGAAATGGACAGCCAGCCCCTCACAGCCCCCTCGGCCGCACTGGGTTGTTGAAACTGCCCCATTGCTTTGTGAAGCGAATTCATCCTGCTCCCCATCCCGACTGAAAGGCCCGCAGGCAGCTCTAGGCGTCAGCCAGGTTCTACTTCCACCCTTGGGCTAAATGGTCCTCAGGAGCCAGTTGTGTTTGTCCCAGATCAGGCATGCCATTTTCACTGGTTACTCTGATTGTGTAGCTAACTGAACACTGGAGACGCATCATGACTCTGTGACAGAGGCATTGTGTGAAAACTCAGTATACAATAGCTGATAAATTCGGTTCCTTCCTTAAGTGAGACTTGTAAGCTATTAGGAAAACAGTAAAATCTAGAATTTTGCATTCAACTGCTTCCTTTTTCTTTCCTTTTTTTTGAGACAGAGTCTCGCTCTGTTGCCCAGGCTGGAGTGCAGTGGCTTGATCTTGGCTCACTGCAGCCTCAGCCTCCTGTGTAGCTGGGATACAGGCGCCTGCCACCACCAGCTAATTTTTGTATTTTTTTTTCTTTTTTTTTTAGGCGGAGTTTCGCTCCTGTTACCCAGGCTGGAGTGCAATGGCGCGATCTTGGCTCACTGCAACCTCCGCCTCCTGGGTTCAGGCAATTCTCCTGCCTCAGCCTCCTGAGTAGCTGGGATTACAGGCACGTGCCATCATGCCCAGCTAATTTTTTGTATTTTTAGTAGAGACGGGGTTTCACCATGTTGACCAGTATGGTCTCGATCTCTTAACCTTGTGATCCACCCGCCTCGGCCTCCCAAAGTGCTGGGATTACAGGCCTGAGCCACCGCGCCCGGCCAATTTCCGTATTGTTAGTAGAGATGGGGTTTCCACCAGGTTGGCCAGGCTGGTCCTGAGCTCCTGACCTCAGGTGATCTACTTGCCTTGGCCTCCCAAAGTGTTGGGATTATAGGTGTGAGCCACCGTGCCTGGCCTTCAGCTGCTTCCTAAGAGTCTAAGTTCTTGTTCCACTTTTTAAGGCCAGTGAGGGACCCCACACCGAGCGTGCTGGGGTCACGCAGTCAGCAGGGCTCTACTCAGAGGCAGCTGTGGTCCTGCTCGGAGAGAGGAGTGGGTGGGTTGACGTGTCTCTATGACTTGTCAGCCGGTCCTTTAAATGTACTCATCAACTGTTGGTCCCAATTTGGTTACATGAGGAGCCTTCTGTTTGAGGACCTCGATTCTCTCCCAGCCTCCAGCCCCTTTTCTAGCTAGTGACCTCATGGCTCTGAGGCCTTGGATGCCAGGGTGCGGTGTGGTCAGGCAAGCTGTGTGAGGGACCCAATGGAGTCCAGCCCAGCCTGACCCGTCAGGGCCTCTGGAGTGGCAGTGGGCGGTAGAGAGCAGTGTTGGTTTTGTGATGAGAGCTGAGCTCCAAGAAGGGGAGATTGTCCTTGAAAAGCCCTCTCCCTATGAGGTGCTAGGAATTAAAATGTTGATGCCAAAGGCAGGAGGCTGTCTTGTCAATGGAGGTAGAAGATTAGGAAGGTTCAATCTGGGTGGATGGTTTTGGTGGAAGTTGGTGACTGCAGGGGCGTGGTCCTGGAGGCCACGCCACGGAGCTGCTGGCCGGTGCATGGAGGGGTGTGAGGCAGTTCTCCCTGCAGTGCTCGCCACCCTTGCCTGGCCGGTGCATGGAGGGTGTGAGGCAGCTCTCTCTGCAGTGTTCGCCGCCCTTGCCTGGCCGGTGCATGGAGGGGTGTGAGGCAGTTCTCCCTGCAGTGTTCGCCGCCCTTGCCTGGCCGGTGCGTGGAGGGGTGTGAGGCAGTTCTCCCTGTAGTGCTCGCCGCCCTTGCCTGGCCGGTGCGTGGAGGGTGTGAGGCAGCTCTCCCCCTGCAGTGCTAGCCGCCCCTGCCTGGCCGGTGCATGGAGGGTGTGAGGCAGCTCTCCCTGCAGTGCTCGCCGCCCCTGCCTGGAGGGCGGTCATCATCATCCACTCTTCCCTTGCAGCCCCCTCTCCTCCGCGCCTCTCCTCTCAGCCACGGTGCCGGCAGCGATTCTGGCCTCTCCGACAGTGAGGAGAGTATGTTCTCAGGTCTGGAAGATTCTGGCAGTGACAGCAGTGAGGATGATGAAGAAGACGATAAGAAGGGAAAGGATGGAGCCGGCAGTGACGAGGGCCCTGGTGGGATGGAGAAGACCACCGAGGAGCAGGTGCAGGTGGGTGAACAAGTAGCCACTGTTGTGGGCTATCCCCCACATGAAGGTGGCCTTGGGCTTTCTGAGCTGCACTGCACTGCTTTCTCCACTATCCTTCGGAACCCCAAGGCCCATGTCCCTCCTTTGCTGTACCTGGGGCACACTTGGGCTCTAGGACGCTGGTTCCATCCCCAGTTGTGTGCCATTCTCGGGAACTCCGAGAATCCACATGCCCAGGCCCTTCCCCTCAGATGCTGCACGAGTGACGCTCCCTGTGACAGGCTGGGTTTCCACGAGGTGTGGATTCCACTGCCTGGGATCGAGTGGCAGGACCCAGCCAAGGAGTGAGCTGCGCAGTGTGGGCAGGGCTCAAGCAGGCGGCATGGGGGCCCCAGCCAGGCCTGACCCCACAGGGCGTCAGGGGCCTGAACAGCCCATGGGGAGAGGGTTGGACATTGTACCTGTTGCAGCTATGGTGAGGAGAGGGTGCACCCACTCTTATTGAGAACAACATGGAAAAAGCATAATTTAACTAAAGCACAGCGTTATTCTTTTCCTTTTTTTTTTTTTTTGAGATTGGGTCTTGCTTTGTTGCACAGGCTGGAGTGCAATAGAGTGATCTTGGCTCACTGCAACCTCCACCTCCTGGGTTTGAACAGTTCTCCTGCCTCAGCCTCCCGAGCAGCTGGGATTACAGGCACCCACCACGCCAAGCTAATTTTTTGTTTGTATGTTTAGTAGAGATGGGGATTTTGCCATGTTGGCCGGACTGGTCTTGAACTGCTGACCTCAGATGATCCGCCTGCCTTGGCCTCCCGAAGTGCTGGGATTACAGGCGTGAGCCACCACCCCAGCCCAGACTGAGTGAAACTCAATCTCAAAAAAAAAAAAAAATGAAAACTATTCTGGAAATGGTTTGTAAGGATTTGCTCCTCCAGTAGTTTCAGCAGCCTGGAAGTTAGGGCCTGGCTAGTGCAGAGGCCCCTGGGATAGAAACCCGGGAGCCGTGTCTCGTTCAGTCTGTGTTCGCTGTGTCGGATTGGCTTGTTTACTGGGAAGAGAAGATTTGAAATCACATTTAATTCAGGCTTTCATTATAACACTGGTCTATGCAGAGAGAAAATGATGTGCTGTGTCGACAATGGTTTGTGAGATCATGGACAGCTATGTTACCCTTTCTTGTTAAGTTTTTAGAATTAAACAGTACCAGGCCAGGCACAGTGGCTCATGCCTGTAATCCCAGCAGCTCGAGACGCCTAAGTAGGAGGATCACCTAAGCCCAGGAATCCAGGCTGCAGTGAGCTATGATAGACCCACTGTACTCCAGTCTGGGCGACAGAGCAAGACTCTGTTTCAAAAAAACCGGTAAGATATAATATCCTGAAAAATAATGTAGATACAGCGTCAGCACTGTTCAGTAGGGTGGAAGCTCCCACTCGGGGCCCTCACTCCTAATAGTGAGCATAGTTAGTGGTCTCATAGGCATCTTTCTGGGTCTTCTGTCCCTTTTTAAAATTAAGGATTTACATGTTAATAATTTTCTTACTATTAAATTCTTTCTGCTGGGCGCGGTGGCTCACGCCTGTAATCCTAGCACTTTGGGAGGCCAAAGTGGGCAGATCACCTGAGGTCGGGAGTTCAAGACCAGCCTGGCTAACATGGTGAAACCACATCTCTACCAAAAATGCAAAAATTAGCTGGTGTGGTGGCGCATGCTTGTAATCTCAGGTACTCGGGAGGCTGCGGCATTTGAGCCCCGGAGGCAGAGGTTGCAGTTAGCTGAGATTGCACCACTGCACTCCAGCCTGGAAGACACAGTGAGACTGTCTCAAAAATGGAAAAAAAATTTTTTTCACATAATAACGGATGCAAGGCTGGGTGTGGTGGCTCACGCCTATAATCCCAGCACTTTGGGAGGCCAAGTCAGGCGGATCACGAGGTCAGGAGATTGAGACCATCCTGGTCAACATGGTGAAACCCTGTCTCTACTAAAAAAAAATACAAAATTAGCTGGGTGTGGTGGCGCGCACCTGTAAGCCCAGCTACTTGGGAGACTGAGGCAAGAGAATCGCTTGAACCCAGGAGGCAGAGATTGCATTGAGTTAAGATTGTGCCACTGCACTCCAGCCTGGTGACAGAGTGAGACTGTCTCAAAAAAAAAAAAAAAAAGAAAAAAGAAAACAAAACATATGCAAGTACATGGAAGGCAGCAGAGGTGTCCTGCGGGGTCTGGGTGAGGTGCCGTCTTCCCACCGCTCACCTCCTGGCCTGGAGCTCCAGGTCCTCTGCACTGCTGAGCCTGTGCTCGCCTGCCCGGGGCCCCACTCAGGTTTCTCTGACAGTGTGACTGGCTGCCCCATGCAGGGCATTTCCAAAGCACCGCAGTCTCTGTGCTTCCTCATCCAGGAGGGCCTGAGGCTGCATGGCTGGGGGAAAGGGGGTGATGGGGGGGCGGGGGTGGTCCTCAGTGTTTCCCACGGCCCCCGCCGTGGCGCCTCTGCGTCTGCCTGCATGTCCCGTGCTTTTGCTGAGGGACACTCGGGTCCTGTTGGAGCATTTTCAGTTCTCAAGTGTGATTCTCATTGCTGGGTTTAAATTATTCCAGGTCAGGAGAGTGAATTGTTGAGGTGGGGGCGCTTTCACTTCCTTAGTGGGAAGCCCTCCCATGTAACCCCTTTTCCCACCCACTCATCAGAAGCCACCCAAGCACCTCAGCCTGCTGAGGCCACTCCCTCCTGCCTCCATCCATCTGCAGCCTCGTGGCAGGGGGAGTCCTTTCCCATTGTGCAGCCCCGGGCACTGCTTCCTGTGTGAGCGTGACCACGTAAGGCCTCCCAGGGTGCCACCAAGATGGCCCTGTCATGCCCAGTTGGTGGCCTCAGGTTAGGCCTGTTTCTCTGTCCTGAAGGCAGTCCAGGGCTCCTTATGCCTGTAACTGCAACACGCCACTCATGTCACGGGTCTGTGGGGTTGGGCCTCCCTCATCTGCCACAGCCATCTGGGGGATTCTGCCTCCATTGTTCCTGCCACTCGTTGTGGGTCCCCAACCCAAGAACCCTTCCGTTGAGCGGCTTCTAGAATCAGTGCCCGTCGGTTCTGGGAATTCACACAACAGTGACATAGCAGCTTCTCCTGTGCTGCTGCTTAAGTGTCCTTTGCTCTGCAGTAGGCACACTCAGGATTCTGTGATCCTGGCCGCAGCCTCTTGTGTGGTCTTGCAGACAGTTCACGGGCCTAAGCTAATTTCTCTTCTGCTGCGTGCTCCTGTCTCTCCCCCAACTCCCTCCTGTCACTGTTTCCTCCACATTAGTTCGCAAGACATGGTCCCTGTGGCCTCTGCCTCATGCGTCTGAAAGACAACCCAGCCGCAGAGTCACATCCCGCTGGAACAGTGGCAGGAAGGGGATGGGCGTCAGGCAGTATACGTGTGTCTTGTCCTGGACACATCGGGGACACACAAAGTCAGGCCAGGCGAGGTCCTCACTCCCCAGGCCACTCAGCCCTTGGTGGATATACCTGGCCCAGTGTATGCTATGATGAAGGTGGCTGTACGACCGACATGGGCGGGGAGCTGGGGCTTTTGTCTCTGCCATCCTGGCAGCGATGTGGCTGATGGCTCACCTTCAGAGCCTCGTCCATAAATGTGATACCAAGTGTGTACCCCAGGTCAACCTAGACAGGCCAAGGGTACCTTGCTGAGCACCCCACAGTGGGAGGGCCTTGCGGTGGGGAGCTGGGTGACTGCTGGGAGTCAGCTGCTGGCAGCCCCTGTGGAGACCTGCTGAGACCTCCTGTCTGGGTGCACCAAGGGTGGGCATGCACCTGGCTGTGGTGCCCGGCCACAGGCTTCCCTCTGGTTTTCTGCCCTCATGGTCACAACCCTGCTCTCTTTATTTTAATTGAGATAGAGTCTCGCTCTGTCACCAGGCTAGAGTGTAATGGCATGATACCGGCTCACTGTAACCTCTGCCTCCCGGGTTGAAGTGATTATCCTGCCTCAGCTTCCCAAGTAGCTGGGACTACAGGCATGCACCACCATGTCTGTCTAATTTTTGTATTTTTAGTGGAGCCGGGGTTTCACCATGTTGGCCAGGATGGTCTCGATCTGTTGACCTAGTGATCCGCCTGCCTCAGCCTCCCAAAGTGCTGGGATCGCAGGCGTGAACCACCGTGCCTGTCCCAACACTGCTTTCTTTTTAAGGGCTGTGTGGAAATTAGATGGCATTTATTGAATAGGCAAAGGTGCACGTGGCATTGTGGGCACTTGAGGATGTCCAGGTGCCCCTGAGGGGCGTGCCAGGGAACGAGTCTCCCTTTCCCTTTTGGCTCCTGTCCCTGCATCCAGGCAACTACTGTTTGCAATGCTGAAGTCTCTTTCCAGGGTGTTCTAGACACATCCAAGTTTGTGTATGTGCACAGAGTTTCTGAACAGAAAGGGCAGCGTGCGCTGTCTCAGGACGGTTCTGTGAGCGAGGCCTTGGCTCTGGTGCGCAGTGCTTGGTGCCCGCAGAGTGGCTGGCGGCTCGGTCTCACCAGCTCCAGCAGTGGGCAGTTGCTCTTACGGTTCATGTGACAACAGCGTTGCGCTGTTTCTCACATGTGCACATGGTTCTTGGGACAAATTCCAACAAAATTTCTGGGTCAAAGGGCAAATGCTTTTTTTCTCTTTAAGACAGGGCCTCTGTCACTCAGGCCAGAGTGCAGTGGTGTGATCTTGGCTCACCAAAACCTGAACCTCCTGGGCCCAAGGGATTGTCCAACCTCAGCCCCTGAGTAGCTGGGACTACTGGTGCCTACCACCGTGCCTGGCTAGTTCTTTTTCTTTTCTTTTCTTTTTTTTTTTTTGTATTTTGAGATGGAGTCTCACTTTGTTTCCCAGGCCGGAGCACAGTGACACAGTCTAGGCTCACTGCAACCTCCACCTCCCGGGTTCAGGTGATTCTCCTGCCTCAGCCTCCTGAGTAGCTGGAATTACAGGCCCATGCCACCATGCCCAGCTAATGTTGTTTGTTTGTTTTTTG